GAAGAAGAAGAAGAAGAAGAAGAAGAAGAAGAAGAAGAAGAAGAAGAAGAAGAAGAAGAAGAAGAAGAAGAAGAAGAAGAAGAAGAAGAAGAAATATGTGAGCGTGCGACACCAGGGTCGAGTGCTGTGCTGACTCCCGAGTTGGACTGTCTCTGCTGTTCAAGCAGCTGGTTGTGCTGTTTCTTCACCTCGTCATACTCAGTCTGGAGTTCGACTTTCTCGGTACAAAGCGTGCGGATATCGTTGCTAAGCTGGTCGTAGCCTTGCCTGAAAACTTTGCCTTCTTCCTCGCGCTTTTTGTATCGCTGCTCCAGCTCTAGTTTCGCTTGCTGCAGGAGGGTCAACTCACGCGTCAGTTCTATGACTTTGGCTTCCAGCTCCTTGTTCGCAGCGCATAGCTTGTCGAAGCGCAGGATCTTGTCTTCTGCCTGGCTGAGTTGGTCGGCGAGCTTAGCTTTCTCGTCGCTAACACGGCCCTCGACTAGTTTCTGCACATTGCCGTAGTATCCTTTTTCTAGCTCACGGTGCTTGTCTTTGAGAGCCTTTTCCTTCTCGTCGATGCTACCCTCAAGTGCCGCCAGTCTTGACGCGAGTTTCTTGAACTTGTATCTCTCGGCTGCAAGCTCTGTGGAGAGGACGGCTTCTGTAGCCTTGCTCTCCTCAAGCCTTCCCATAGCTTCACCTAGTTTTGTCTGAAAGATCTGAAGCTGCTCGGAATCTGAGGGCTTGTTGCGCCACAAAGCCTGAAGCGATCCGAGCGACAGTTCCGCAAAACCATCTCGAAATGTCACAAGTGCTGCATGCTGCTCCTCCACATCCTTTTGGTGCTGCATCCGTTCCTTCTCGCACATTTTGAGCTTGCGCTGAAGGGCCTGAGCTTTGCTACTGATTTTGGCGTTCTTCAATTCGGCGTCTTCTTGCTGCAGGTTCGCTTGAAGCACTTGTATTCCTAGCTGTTGGATTTTCAGATGACCGGTTTTTGTGACTAATTGATCAAATGTTTCCGTCAGGCTCGCGATTCCGGTCTTGAGACTGCTGATCTCGGAGGTGATGATTCCGGCCGTTGCCTCGTCGAGATTGTCAAAACCTTGCAGGTACTTGGATATGGCGGTGTCTTTGGGTGACGACATGTTTTGTGATTTCCGCGAGATATGGTGGTAGCTTTGAGAGGCCAGTCTGCTTTATCTGCTGCAGGTCGCAAGGCAGTCCAGTCTGGGGGAGAGTTGAGTGACAGTAGAGAGTGTAGTGGGTGTTGAAAGATGTCTCCAGGCGACACTGGCCCAAGTAGTAAAATCTCTGCAGCTTGAAGAGGTCAATGTGTTTTTGTTTGCTACACTCATTGTTGTCCCGCCACCGCAGGTGAAAGCAGCCTTCACCTCGACAATCCTCAGGCTCCCAACTTTGCCACAGCAATAACCTCTACCACAGATCCACTCCAATTTCAACCAATCAAACTTACAATTTGACACTCTGTCTTCAAAGTTCAAGAATGTCGCGCTCATCAGATACCCCAGCCGAAGACACACGTACGCGTCTCCGCGCTACAGCCACAGCATTCACGCCGCAAGCCAAGACCAGTGCATCAGGGGCACTTTTCCACGAGGGCGAAAACGAGCCATGCCTCCAGAATGACAAGATCAAGCAGCTATACACGTCATCTGTAATCAGCGAAGCACCAAGCGAGTCCCCAAACGAAGTAAATACTCTCTACACTCCACACTCCATCCCCAACTACGCTTACATACTCATCCTTTAGTCGCGCCCTACAAGCTCAGCACATGCGTGTCCCACGTGCTCCCAACTGACGCAAACGCTCGTATCACTTAGCCACGCGCAGGCCAATCTCAAGTCGCAACTGCAGCGCCTGGAGCGCGAAACCCCCGTGGAAAAACTAAGCCGACTCTGCGCGCAGCATGACGCCGAGATCAAGACGCTGAAGGAAGAAGTAGATGCATTGGCCAAGCAAGATGAAGCGCTCAAGGTGGAGATTGCGGGGGACGAGGAAAAGCTGAGGGGATTAGAGAAGGAGGTGACAAAGCTGAGACCAAAGGAGGCGTTTACGGTTGTGGTTAGGGAGGGAAAGAAGAAGTGATTTCTTTTTTTCCATCTTGGTATGCTGTGTTTTGCAGTGTCGGTGTCTTCCCTTCCTGTCTATACATGCGAGGTTGGATAAAGCAAAAAAGAAAAGAGAGAGGACAAACCAATCTAGTCTATTGTTCTAATGTTGGTTTGGTTGAGCAGGACACTGCGCTGTTTCCGAACTTCAATACGCAAAAGTAGACAATCATCCACTTCGTTGTTCCCATTACAGTACCCAATAAAAACATCCATGAATCCCTACAACCGCAACCTATATCACCGCCCGTCCTCAAACGACCCGTCGTCTCGCTCTGCAGTCAACCTACTGACCTGACTCGACGAACTATTTCGCCCCAGCAAATCTGTGTTACTGTTGTTCTTCGAAGTAGACATGGGTTTCTTTACATTGTTCTTCCAGAACAACCAGCTTTGTCCATTGTACACTGCAAGCGGATTGTGGTCGAGATGATTGCCATCTGGAGTGGTGTTGATGCCAAGGACGTTATCATCACCATCATCATCTTCATGGTGTAGTGACTCTTTGATAGGAGTAGAGGCCTCGGATTGCGATGCACTTCGTAGAGAAGTACTACGGGCTATGGAAACTGATGTTTCGGGTGTATCGCCAGGCCTGGTATCGGGTGTGTCGCTCGGGTGGGTAGGACGTAGGACGGGCGAGTGGGACTGGGATTGTGGCGTCGAATTCAAACTCAGTGTGGCGAGCGATTTCCGTGGCGAAGCGCTGCGATGAGAAATAGAGTTGCTTGAGTGGATGCTGCCGTTGGATATGTCTTGGCGCCATGTCATGATGCGATCGTTGGGCGGCTGAGTCGACACACTGTCTCGCCGCGTGCGACTGTTACGCGAGATCACGCTGCTAGGTCGTCCGATGCCTGATAATCGCTTCGCTGCCATTGTATCCAACTGTTCACTCAGTTTTGTGCGCTTGTGGAAGGCGCAATCTTGTCGAAACACTTTGAGCGCCCCAGTATAGTCTGCTGTAACGATAATGTTGCCTGCGCGATGTGCCGAGCGTGCAATGTAGGCCGGACTCTCAACCACCTTCTTGAAATGTGTCTCGTTGGGCGTAACTGCCAGATGTACTGACCCTCCCTCCGTAGGTGCTCGCGACGATACCACGGATTCCGCCTTTGAAACCAGAGTAACCGGAGGCGGATTGCAGAGATCAAAGATTGGATCTTCCGAGGCGCTCAGCAGTTGCCGTGTCTGCATGGGTGCAATGACAGTGCATGTGGTGATTGAGTTGTGAGCTTCAAACATTTCCACCGGCCGCTGATCCCTCTTCTCGCCTTCTATCGCAGACATTGACCAAATGTACGTTTTACGGTCCTCGCTTCCACAAACAATGTGTCCACTGCTGTCGGCAAACATTGCTCTAATCTGGCTGCAATTGTTTTGATGTCCACGAAACTTCATCTCGAGCGTTTTGTCTTTGAGGTTGTATACCCGCAGCCTCGAGTCGTTGCTGGATACCAGCAGCTTCACCTCTCCATCCTCGCTTCCCGGCGGCCAATACGTCGTTTTGATTCCGGTAATCTTGCTTCCCTTTGCATTTTGGCCTCTGGTTGACTTGACATGGAGTTGCGCCTGCCACTTCAAGCCATCCGTGTCGTAGAAGAGACAAAGACCACCGAGCGTGCCGGCTATGGACGTCTTTCCGTCAGGCGTGAAAGCAACCGATGTAATCATGTCTGGGAGCGTAGTCGAATACGCCACACTCTTGTCCGGGATGCTCCAGAGGCGCAGTCTAGCGTCCAGAGACCCTGCAAGAAAGAAGCGGTCATCCGTGGGGTGAAACTGTATCGACGGAACAAAGTCGGAATGCTTGAATGTGCAGAGATTCTCATCTCGACTGATATGCCACAGGCGCACTGTCTTGTCCATGGACGAGGACAAAAGAAAGTTGTTCTAGGCGTCGTTAGTGCCGTGATCCGAGCAATCCGCCATGTTACACATACCTTGCTCCAACTCAAGTCCAGGATCGTTGACGTGTGTCCATGATACTCCCGAATGGGTTGCTGTTGAAAGACTGGCGCGCTAAGACGGCTACCCTCTCCATCATGCGCATGCGGATCGCTTTCGCTGTCTTCATGTGCTTGACGGCGCTGGGGACTGTCTATCACTGTCCAGACCCGAATCACCCTGTCCTGCCCCCCGACAGCAAGATACTTTCCATCTTTACTAAACTCGACGGCCCAGATGGGATTCTGTATTGCTGCGGACCCAGACTGCGGTGCAGGATTCGACCCAGCAGCCGGCGGGCTCTTCTTGACGGCGCCAGCGCGCAGTTCTTGCGCGAGAAAAAGACGATCAAACTCCTTGTCTTTCTTGAACTTGGCCCTTACTTTGATGTATGCCGGGGGCTGCGGGATCTTGGGACTGAAGCTGTAATTGTCGACGTAGAGCTGGGCATCCATTCCCTCTTGTCGTAAGTCGCCTGTTTCGGAACCATTGTCACTTGTACCCTCGACGGTGCTCTTCCTTTTATTGCTGCCCATGAACCGACTCAGGAAGGAAACTTTCCTATGGGTGTCGTCAGCTTTGCTTACTACTCCGCCACGGTCCAACATTGTCCATGCATGGCAAGGCCGCCAATATCAGGGGAAGCGCACTCAGGCCGTCCATGTATGCGAATATTCCCGGATATGGTTACGCGCTAGCGGAAGAGATGTGGCATGTGAAAGCACTCACTTCTTGTCGGCCTTTGTGCCCACGGCATCGCGAAGCGTCTCCCCGCTAGCCTTGTTCTCCCCGCCCACTTCATTTGGCGAAGTCGGTGCCTGGCTCGCTGAGACGGCGTCTGTATTCTGCGAGCGCAGCTTCTGGGCGGCAGGCGATGTATTCGTTCTCTGGAGGATTTGCTATACGATGAGTCGATGCGTCGTTAGCGCTGGGGTCGGTGCAACTCGCGCCGCATAAAGACATACTTGCGAGAGCGGGTCTATGGGCGTCTCAGCCAAAGCGATTGCCTCGCCCAGGAGGCCATTTTGTGAATCGCTCGACAGCTGGGCGGGCGGCGACGTGGGACTTCGTAGCTTTGCGACGAGTTTCTTGTTGGTCATGGGCCCTGCGAGTTGTCGGACGTCAGCATTGGGGGAGCCAGGCGCGGCTGAGGGTTGCCACCACGTACCGTCGAGTGTGGAGGAGCTGATTCTGGGGATAACGGTGTCTGCCATGTTTCAAGCGTGGCGCGGTACCATGGATCTTCCCCGGCCGGGGTGCTTGTGCATGTATAACAGCAGCCAGCGCCTGGAGGAACAAGAGCTGGCCCAGAGAATACAATACAAGCAGGCAAGCAGGCACGTATGTAGGCAATGCGCGTGATGCGCAGGGACGGTAAGCGAAAAGATGCAGCAGAGGTCCAGACCTGAGGATGCCGCTGCGGAGGGCGGCGGATATTTACAGGCTAGGCCGTCGTAATTAGCATCATGTCCGTACCTCGATGCAGGTCCCGCGCTGCTATAAATCGCATGGCATGCGATTGGTCCGAGGGGGGGTGAGCCGTGATGCTGAGAGCGGCGGCTAGAATGAATGATGCGTCGCGCAACTGCAACCGCCTTTGTCCTTGGGCGGCCGATTTGCCTGGGCCGGCTGTCGTCAGTCATGCTGCCATGTAGCCTCGGCACGGCCGCCGGAGTGCATGACGTCACAGAGACTGCACCCACCACCAAGACAACGTCGTGCAGCAGAGGGACACGAACATGAGTAACTGAGGCGTGGCGACATGTGCACACGGCAGGAGGGCAACAACATTTGCAGCGTCAGCGGCAGCCATGGAAAAGGGCCGACGGGCCCAACGGCGCGAAGCTTGCTAGCCATCAAGCATGCTAAGCCTGTGCCGGGGGCGGCCGACAAGAGCCAGTCAGCAGCAGCACACAGGATACACGGGGCTTCAGTCATGTCTGTAAAATGGTGCATTCGTAATTATTCAGGGGGGAATATAGGTCGTTGATCCGTCGCGTGCAAAGTCCATAACCAGCCGCTTCACTCATCCAAGAGGTGTGCCCAAAAAAGAAACAGAAAAGAAAAACTACGCCATGACGCCAACGTGCGCGGAGTATCAGCGACTCCGACAATGCAAGGACCAAAGCGTCCAGGGTGGTATACAAGAGACTACATGAAAGGAAAATGGCAACGAAACACGGCTGCGAGCCATCTAAAAGTCCTCGTCGAAGCAGAAGTCGCCAGACTGGCCTTGGGGCTCGGGTGCGGGCGACGACGAGCCCTCCTTCTGCTCGTGCTTCTTTGTGCTGGCCATGACGCCCGCCTTCTGGTAGTCGCCAACGCGCTTCTCGAAGAAGTTGGTCTTGCCGGCAAGCGAAATGTTCTCCATGAAGTCGAAGGGGTTGGTGGCGTGGTACACCTTGGGGTTGCCCAGCGCCAGCAGCAGACGGTCGGCGACGAACTCAATGTACTGGCACATGAGCTTGGCGTTCATGCCGAGCAGAGCGCAGGGCAGAGCGTCGCTGAGGAACTCTTGCTCAATCGTAACAGCCTCGGTGATGATGGCCTCGACCGACTCCTTGCTGGGGCGCGTGTTGAGCAGAGAGAAGAGCAGGCAGGCAAAGTCCGTGTGCATGCCCTCGTCACGGGAGATGAGCTCGTTGGAGAAGGTCAGGCCAGGCATGAGGCCGCGCTTCTTGAGCCAGAAGATGGACGCGAACGATCCGCTGAAGAAGATGCCCTCGACAGCAGCAAAGGCGACAAGGCGGTTGGCAAAGGTCGAGTTCTTGTCCGTGATCCATCGCAGCGCCCAGTCGGCCTTTTTGCGGATGCAGGGAACTAGAGCGCGTTAGACGCGTAGCTACAGCGCGTTGCGGGGCTACTTACTGTTGTCAATGGCGTTGAACAGGTACTGGCGTTGCCTGGGCTCGCTAATATATGTGTCGATGAGGAGAGAGTATGTCTCCGAGTGCACATTCTCCATCATGATCTGGAAGCCGTAGAAGCAGCGGGCCTCGGGGATTTGTACTTCGCTCGAGAAGCGCTCGACCAGGTTCTCGTTGACGATGCCGTCCGAGGCGGCGAAGAAGGCGAGCACGTGCGAGATGAAGAAGCGCTCGTCGTCGTTCAATCGCTTGTTCCAGTCGTGGAGGTCCTTGGAGAGATCAATCTCCTCGGCGGTCCAGAAAGAAGCCTCGGCCTTCTTGTACATTTGCCAGACCTGGAGCAAAGGCAGTTAGCACTGCTGGCTGCAAGACATGCAAGACGCGCCCAGGAACGCGTAATGCACGTTCAGGCGTACAAAACTTACATCGTGGTACTTGATGGGGAAGAGGACAAAGCGTCCGGGGTTCTCCTGGAGGAGGGGCTCGTGGGCCTCTTCCTCCCTGATTGTGGACGCGACCGTGGGCTTGACGTCTTGGACGTTGGCGTCGAAGTCATCGGGAATGCCGACAATGGGCCTGAAGACGTTTTCCTTGTCCGAGTCTGAGAAGTCGAGCTCCTTGGCGGGCGAGTCGGTCATCTTGAGAGAGCTGAATGCAGCAGCCGCCTGCGTGTCGCGTTAGCATGGGCGTGTCGCGTAAAGTGCTTGTCCCGCATCGTGACGTACCTGCTTTGAGGGCGTAGCGTGGAGAGCAGACATTGCGTGATGGCGAAGAAGAAAAAAGTTTTCAACAAGGCGCTGGAGAGTCTGTCGAGACGTGTAAGAGTATACAAGAATAGACAAGGACTTGTTCGCTGGTGGAGAGAGCTGTGGAGCGTTGGGGTGTGTGAGGAGAGACGGAGAGAAACGCGCCCTCTCTATAAATCCGCGTTCTCTCGCGGGCACGTGACATGGCGATCGGCTGTGCGGCCGCTAGCGCGCGCTCGACACGAAAAGAGCGCTATGAGCTCATCCATGTGCACCACACATGGCGGCGGGCGTGGGCGCCCCATGGCCATTGGAACGGGCGTCTTGCACATGCAGCCGCTGCAATCGCTCGCGCGCAGTCCAACGACACCCATATCGCCCACCCTCACCCTCCTCAGCGTCGAGCATTCGCATGTCCATTGCTCCGTCGCGTCGCCCAGCCACGGCCATTGACAAAACGCAGACGCGTCGCAACGCGCTATGATTCGGTTCGTCCCCACCACAACACGCAAGGACCAGCATGGCGCGAGCAATGTGCGGCTGATTCAGAGCTTGGAAATGCGTTTGAAGCGGCCATTGGGCCGTGTCATGGCCCCTCCGCCCTGCTGCCCGGCCTTGGTAGTCTGCCGGCCTCGCATCAGATAACTTTTTTTTCGCGGCTTCTCACCACCACTTGGCCCCACCACCGGCGCGCTGCTCGACGCGTCCACGGGCGGCATGCCTCTGCTCTGCTCTGCTCTGCTCTGCCAGCTTCCCCCTTCTCGGCGTCTCCTCGAAGCCTTGTTTCGGCCACGGCCCCTGCCCCTCCAAAGCACACATACTCCACAGCCCCCCAAGGTTTCGTGGCGTCGGTGCTGAATCCCTACGGCCAGTTGACCAGACGACGCGTGCTCGGACGCGTCTCAGTAGACGCGGGGCTTTGTTCCGCTGTTGCCCTTGATTACATCCATTCTCTATCCACACACCAAGACATCTACAAATATCCATACATGAACGAAGAGGCCTTTGCGGCCCGCCTGCGCCTGCGCGTCGTGTTCCTTTGTCCTGCACACAAGAACGTCAAGTCTTGATACCCAGCCCTCTAATCAACGCCGTCAGTTCCGGAATCCGGAAGGGCTTGCAGATCGCCTCATCCACGCCCGCCCTCTTGGCCATTTCCACCTGTTCTCTTCTTGCGTTTGCGCTCACGGCAATAATCGGCACGTGCCCCCTCAGTTGTCCCTGTGCCTCCATCTCTCGAATTTTCCGTGTGCACGTCAGTCCATCCATGACGGGCATCTCGACATCCATGAGGACGACGCTGAGCGGCACCGGCGGCGAAGTGCACGGCGTAGGCGAAAAGCACGTTTGCGATAGATGAGAGAGCGCCTCGACGCCGTGGTTCGCAACGTGAATCGTGTGTCCGAGCTTCTTAAGTTGGCTAGACAGGACACGCTGGTTGATCAGGTTGTCTTCTACAATGAGGATGTTGTAATGTTGTTTCTCTGCTGCCCCCACCTCTTCCCCGTCAGGCGGCAGCGCCATGGCGCTCAACGCAGCCTCCGGCTTGTCGTTCTTGCTCTCGATAATGTCAGCTTTGGAACGCGTCGCTAGTGCGCCATTAACATCAGTGCTGCTATTTGTTGTCCTGTGTGCGTTTGCAGGTGGTCTCGCGCGCCGTGATTTGATGTAAAAGGAAAACGTGGATCCAACATCCTGATCCGATGCCACCCCAATGCTGCCGCCTTGCAGTTCCGTCAGTTCACGCGAGATGAAGAGCCCAAGGCCTGAGCCGCCGTACTGAGACACTGTTAGCATGCTGGCAAGAGGGAATAACGACATGTAGTTGAACTATACCTGGACATGTGTCTTTGGCGTGGCTTGCGAGAAACGAAGAAAAAGCTTTTCCTTGTGCTCAGGCGATAGCCCACACCCGGTATCTTTGACGGTAAAGTTGAGATAAAACACCTCGCCCGCGTGATCCGGCTCAGGCCGCGCGAGAAAGTCCCGCCGCAATGTCTCTTGTGGCACGTACTCGATACCCTGCATCCTCTGGGCTTCACGAGATGCACCCATGACCACCTCAACCTTGCGTACCTCTTGGCCTTGGGTAAACTTGATGGCGTTGGTTAAGAGATTGATGAGAATCTGCAACACACGACTCGGATCCAGTACTGCCCAGTCAATCTCCAGCTCCTCGATCGAAGCGTCACACCGCATTTCGAGCTCTACGCGGACTTTGTTGGCTTCGTCCTTGAACATCTTGTATGCGTCTTGCAGAAGCACTGCAGGCTGTAGCACCATGGGGCTAATGACCAACAGCTTCGAGTCGAGCTTTGAAAGAGTAAGAATGTCGTCTACGATGCGTTTTTGATGCGTGGCGCATGCCTGGATCGTGTCAATGGCATCCAGACTATTGTCAATTAGTTCTTGCAGCTGCATCTCCTGGTCGGGCTGCGCAGTAATGGCCCCGGTACGTATAAGGGCCTTCATCTCGCCCAATGACCCTGTGACGGAATCCGCGCATTGCACCATGGCACTCAGTGGGTTGCGCATCTGCGTTGCTGCCAGTCAGTCTTTGATCTATACCACATCTGTCAAATCACCCACCTCATGGCTGGTCATGTCAATAAAGTTTTCCTGTTGCCTCTTCGATTCGAGCGCTTCTTCGACCCGACTTTGCTGAATCGCCTCGGCCCATTTGAGCTGCGAAATATCCGTCATGGTGCCCATGATGGTGCCATCATTGTACGAAGTGGCGGTTACCAAGATCCACGTCGGTGTCGAAACCCCATCTGGTCCAGTCCACTGTTTCTTGAGATGAGTTGAAAATGTGTGTGACGTTCGTTGGTCTTTGGTGGTTTCGACCTCGCGATAGCAAGCCTCCATGCGCTTTTCGTCGACAATGTTTCGCCACTCCACTTGGTCCATGGGCACTTTGGGATGGCCGGTGATGCGGAACCATTGATCGTTACAATATCTCATGGAAAGATCCTGATTAAGATGATACAGCCCGACAGGCGCCAACTCAGTGAAGCTGGCTAAACGCCGCTCCGCCTCTGATTGCATGATTACAGCCTCGGTGGCCTCTTTTTGCGCAGAAATATCAGTGTTGCATCCGAAAATGCTAGTGACCATGCCATTTGTGCCTTTTATGGGCACACATGCTGATAGAGTCCAGATATATTCGTCGTCCTTCTTTTGGCCGTCTTCTGCTTGGATCCGCGGTCTCTTCCACCGTACCTCGAATGTAGCTGGCTCGCCTCCCAGCAAGATATTCCATTGATTTTCGACCATGGCTATGTCGTCTTGATGAACACAGTCCTTGAAAGCAAAAGGTTGGCAAAAAGAAAAATCTCTCCGGTGCCCGGTTTGAGCAAAGTATGTATCCCATCCGCATATTAGCTGACGCTGACAAGCCGCGACTTGAAGACTTACATTTGCATGAACCAACATGCCATCAACGCCAATCTCAAAGTAGCCTAGGCCAACCTGATCCGCGATTCCATTCAAGTTCCGAAGCTTTTCCGCAGCATGACTGGCCTCTTTCGCTAGTGTTGCAACTTCGGCATTGAGAGCTTCGCGGTCTCTGGCGGCCTGTTCTTCTTGTCGTTTACGATTCCGCGTGTCTTCTTCATGTAGCGCTACGGACGCAGCAGAGGCCCCCAGTAGATTGGCAAAGACGTCGATCCAGTCCTTGTATTCGTCATCGTAAGGTCGGCGAGTATTCAAGCCCATGAGGAGGAACCCCACAACAGTGTTGTCATAGGTCCGGATGGGAAGGACAAGAAATACCTTCAGCGGGTCTCCGAAACCGCGCTTCTCGAGGTCGGTGTACAACGACACTGGCAGTATGCCATCTTCTTCCCTACACAGTACTGCGGGTCCGTCTCTTGCGCTATCGACCAAGGCGCGGGCTAGGCCAATGTCTCCGTCTAGTTCTACATGCTGAGGCACATGCGGGTGGTCGGATCTGTATCCAATGGACCATTCGAGGGTGCATGTGTTTGGTACTTCTTTCACTGCACCCGAAGCGTCTAACGGGTCGTCTGGTATGCAGCGTGAATACAAAACGGCGGCTGGGAAATCGTACTCAAATGGCTGAAGAGCCTGGGCAACGTAGGCCCAGAAATCCTTCATGGTTCTCGCTTTGCTAGTCAGCTGGCCAACTCTCAATAATGCACTAACACGGCGCTCGAGCAACCTGAGTTGACAAGGTTAACAGAATTAACGTGAAAGAGCCGCTGTCCACCTACCTCTGCTTCGTCACCTCGGTGACAATCGAGTACAGGCCGGTAATGTCGCCAACACCGACAAGCGGCACCAGACTCCACATGAAGAAGGACTCTTCGACGAAGCCGTAACGTTCGACCATGAAGTGGTACTCATCTTCAGGGGCGTCGGCAAAACGCGTGTGCTCTGAGCGTGCCATGGTAGCCGACACGGGGTCGGCAAGTTCAGGCCTGGGTGCTTGTTAGAGAAGCGTCCACACACACATGGATGGTCGTAGCTGCACACACCATGCATCAAGGATAGTCTGGCCTAGGATGGCCGGATGGCGCGACCCGCTGACGGCTCCATAGGCGAGATTGTACAAGATGGTACGCTCTGGGCCGAGGAAGAGGGCGGTTGGGCGGGTTTCCAGCATCAGGGTAGTGACGAGCACGTTGAGCTGGTAGCTCCAGGTGCTCAGGGGGCCCAGCGACGTCTTGGCCCAGTCGACGTTGCGGATGCGGTCGACATGCTCGCGCAGCTCGGGCGACTGGATCTTGACGGTGAAGATGGTGTCTGGCGGGGCGGCCGACAGCGGCGAGGCCATGCGGGCGAGGCGCGGGGGCTCGGAGCGCGACTTGGAGCGCTCGACCAGCAGCGGCGGCGGGTGGTGGGCAATGGTGACGACGAGCCAGCGGGCGCAGGCGGCAAACTTGGCCCAGCGGTACCTGCCATGGCGAAACTCGTGCTGGAGGCGAGCCTCGGCGCGGCTGGCGGGATCCCACCAGTCCCTCAGGGCATTGTGGTCGTCGAGGGCGAGGGCCAGGTGGGGGATGGCCAGCAGGGCGGCGTTGACATGGTAGATGGTCGTCGCGGGCGCTTGGCAGTCGACGATGAAGGTCGGGCGTGGGTCGCTATCGTACAGCAGGCGGAGGTCGACACACCCCATGGCGGATCTGCGTGGGTTTGGCCGTGGTTGCACCGCAGACGGCACGCTCGAGGCCACGACGGGCGCAGGCGGCGCCGTGAGTGCGCCGGAAAGCTTGGTGGCAGAGGCCGTGGTGCGTGCATGCGCTGGCCGAGACGGGAGTGCATTTAAGCCGTGGCGTGCGCCGTGGAGAGGGCGACGACGTCGTGGTGGTGGTGGCAGGGAGCAGAAGGGCCATGCGGCGGGCCATGGTCAAGGCCATGTTCATGTATGCACGCGGGTTGCCCACACTGATCGCGATCGCCACCACGGGGCTCGTTTGCCGAGCAGCTAGCGCGCGCGGGCTGCGAGATGCCTACTATTGCTATTATAGCACGGCTGCACTGAGTCGCCGCCGCGCTTCACTGCATCTTGGCTGTGGCTGGCTAGTCGACGTGAATATGCTGATCTCACGTCACCGCTCTGCTACTACACCTACACCTACGCCTACTACCCGCCATGGCTCCCTTTCTTTTGCCGCCAGCATACCCATCTCCGCCTATCTAGCGCTGCCACGGTGCTTCTCCCAAAAGCAGCCCACCACGCCTGGCTATCAGATACAACGTCTCTTTTTCTGTCCTCCGCCTCAGTCTTCGCCTCGCCCGCCCAGTGGCGATCCACAAGCCGTCCCTACACCATGTACTTATCGCATCACAACCACGCCAAACTGCCCTAGCGCAACAAGTCAAGATGCAACACGGGTCAACAGCCTTGCCACATGGCATCATTCCCCTGCTTACTCAAGAGCCTGTCAGGACTCTAGTCGGCGCTCCAAGGCCGCTGGCTTCCTGACACCCGCCGCCCATGACGGTATACGCCTAGTCTTGTACAATACCTCACAGTGCCACTTTTGCTGCCTGAGCTCACTGATCCACCAAGCGCCAATACATGCACCAAGCCCTCTTACGCGCCATCTGCTGCCTCTTGTCTTTGCAGCGCTGCTGACCATAGCCCATCCATCGTCTCAGACCTCGTCAGTCCAGCATCTCGGCCCAGTTTGGCACCACCACAAACTTGCCCTTGACCCTGCCCAGACTAATGGCATCGCCCGCGTCTTCAGGCGCCGCCCGCTGCTTCTCTGGCCTGACTTCAACACTGGCAACTTCCTGCAGGAAGCTGGCCTTGTTGCCCGGTGTGAGCTCATAGCTTGTCCCGCCCCAGTCCAACGTTGTCCGGCCCGATTCGTGCACACGCAGCTTGCCAACCAATCCACTTCCAAACCGGACGCCTTCCCTCGTCTTAGCTGCAGCATCCGAGAACACCCCTTCTTCGAGCTTGATCTTTGCATCTCCCTTGCCAGCGGCTTGCACGGGCGGCGGGGCGGGCGGAGCATCCGATTCCTCCTTCTTGACAAACGGCGGCTCGACTTCGGGCATGAGCGGTGGTATCTGGAAGAGGTATACATTGTTGTCCCGCACCGTCGGCTTCTTGTCTGCAGGGCCTGCTTCTGCCATGGGTACGTCGCCTGAGCCGTCAGTCTGAGCCACCTCGTCTGGGCCCAGCTCGGCTCGAATATGGCGTAGGTTAGACTGGAAGCGTGTCCACTCTGCGCGGTCTTCGTCAGTCTGGAGAATCGGTTCAGCGATACTCTGCTTCTTCTTCTTCATCTTCGGCTTTCGTTCGGCGTCTGGTGATTGGGGCTCCTGCTTCTCTGCCCGTTGAGCGGGAGCGTCGGCCAAGCCAACCCGTTCGGCATCAGCCATGTTCTCGTCGTCACTAGTGGGTTCCGTCTTGACAGCAACGTCTGAATCTTCCGAGTCATGCCAAACGCCCTTGAACTGCTTCCGAGAGCCAGTAATCTCCACGTCCTTTGACTTTGCCTTTGCCTTTCGGGCAGTCTGATCCGAAGCGGCTGCCGCCAGTGGCTGTCCACTCGATTCCGCCTGTTCGAGTATCTTGGCAGACGCCTCTGAGCTGGCTTCTGTGTTGATACCAAATGTTCGCTCTTGATGTTCTTTCCTGCCGATTCGAACTGGCAATGCTGTCTGTGAAGCACGCTGTGTCGACGGCCCTTTTCCTTTTCCTTCGTCTTCGTCAGAAGAGATCTCGATCAGGTCAATGTCCTTGCGCGGCAGGTTCACGTCGTCCTCGTCGTCCGACGACACTGATCCGCCATCTTCTCTTCTGATCGACGACCCACCTCCCCCACCACCGCCTCCTGACCGACTCGCACCTCCGTAGCCGCCATCCTCATTCTTGATGCGTTCAGCTCGAGAGCCTGATCCTGCACCGAAACCCGCGTACCCACGATTCGGGTTGTTCTTCCTGTCTACAGCCACAGTTAGCATAGTCACGCCAATCTGGACTGTCTGCCATGCCTTCTCTCGAGCTGCCAAGTGAAAATGGCCCACTGGCTACTCCGCTGAATCCACCGCGCGCATTCTTCTGCTTGTTTGCCTCGCGTCTGGCGGCCCGCAGTGCATCGGCCTCCCTTCTCTTGTCTGCAGCAACCTGCTCTTTGGTCCTTTCGCGGTCGCGAGCGGCCTGTTCTTTTGCAATGGCATCTCGCTCTTCTTTACTTCTTCGCCCTGTGAACGCTGGTGTCTTGACGCCTCTCTTGCCTCGGGCTGTACCGCCGCGGCCGCGCACCGAGGGCGATGCGGATCGTGAAGGAGGGACCGAGCCCTGTAGGCTGCCTAATCGCTGGACGGGAGCGCGAGCACTCGGTTCTGCACCCGGTTGGGGTGATTCGACGGCCGCTGAAGGCGAAGCGTGCGAATCGCCTGCCACTACAGTACTCTCTCCACTAACCGCCGGCTTCGACTCGTTGTCCTCTTGCTTGGGCACCACGGGCTCCGCGGCATCGCCTGTAGCAGCTGCAGGTGCGGTGCTCTGCGGGGTCGCATCATCCACAGATTCGCGCGCGGCAGCCGTGTCTCTTGCAGCAGTCGATCCTCCTCTTGCGCCGCCTCGAGCACGTGTGCTTCCACCTCCTCTTGGTTTTGGTGGCATTGCTGTTGTGGTTGTGTGAAAGGACAAGGACCAAAGTGGTGGCTCGAGAAAGTCGCAAATATTTTGGCTATCGATAAGACACCTCGGATCAAACGTGCACCCCCCCCCCCCAGAAACGCGACGTCACATGTCAGGGTACGTGGCGCGTGTTTCAAGAGCCTTGTGCTTGTGCTGTACATACATACACATGCATTAGTGGCTTTGTCCAATAGTCATGGGGGGGGGGGTTTTTGCAAAAAATATTTTTTCCCAATCACCGTGGTATTACTACACAGGTTAAGCAAAATGACTCGGCGACCAAAAAAGTTAGCAGACAGTATTTATCAGGCTCAACAAATCCAAGGAAAAAGCGAACATCGTCTGTTTCATCTCTACGATGCCCCCTAAAAAAAGATCATCCAGCTCTATCAATTACAGTTTTCTTTTCTCGTTGTTTGCTCGGGGAAGAGTAGTGGTAACTTATGTGTATGCCGATGTGTGTGTGTGTGTGGGTGAGTGGGTGGGAGAGGGTGTGTCTGAAAGCCCACTCCGCCAATGCTCGCTATAGATACTGAGGATACATCTGCTCCCTGAACGCCAGCCTCCAAATGGCCCAAAAGCAGAGTCCAACATGAACGCATAATCAGGAAAATTGAATACGGTGGATGATAGCCAGAGCGCAAAAGCCGTCAACAGCCGAGAAACAGGGTATAAAAATGCGATTCGACGGTCGTTTAGCCTTCGACAAACGTCTTGGGGCTCTTGCCCAGTAGCTCAAGACATCTGCGTGCAAGCGTGACGACTTCGCCCTCGCCATCTTCATTGTCCTCGTCGTCCGACTCAATGTTGCGGTCGGCGATTTCCGTGACCATGTCGACAATCTCGTTGGACTTGCCAATGCGTTCCATCAGCTTTGCGTCTTCGGATTCGAGTAATTGTAGTAGTGTCCAGATAGCAATGTGCTGGAACGTTGGGTCTCCGCTCGCCAGGAAGCGGCGGAGATAGCCATGAATTCCGCCTGCGGGTTCTGTCCAGTTCTGGATGAATATCGAGTAGTCGCCCACTGCGTCTGTTAGCGGTGGACAGGGCCGGGACGGAGCATACTTACCCTTGGACGACAGGTTGCCCAATGCAGCGGCACTGTTGCCCTGCACCTCGATGCTCTCTGATTCCGTGAGTGGGATGAGCACATCAAAGACGCCCAAATTCAGCAGGTGAGGCTTGAGCTCCTCGCTCAAAGCAAGCACCGCGATTGCGGCAGTCATCTCCGACTGGACTGGAAGGCGCACATTCAGCACAAGCGACTTGCACTTTTGCACGGCACCAGCCTCCAGAACCAATTGCTTGTTCTTGTCAGAGCTTGCAGCGAGGTTGCGGAGCGTGGATATGGCGTGGCATTGGATCTCATCGTTGTCGGTGGAGCCAAGCAGGTCTACGAGGGGCTTGAGGAAGCCGGCTTCGATGATGGGCGACTCGTTTGCGGGGTGGATGGAGATGTTCCGTATGCATGCAACGGCGGATAGAATAAGCGGTAAGTATGAAGACTGGAGGAGGCGGAGAAGAGACGGCAGGCCGCGGGCGCGCACAATCTCGAGCTGGTAGCGCTCATCCGAGGCAAGGTTGCGAAGGGCGAGCGCGGCCTGGCACTGCACCTTGGGCGACGACGACTCCATGAGGTGCACCAAGGAGCCCACCAGGCGGCCCTCGGTCTGTGCCAGCTTAGCGCGGTTGCTGGCGTCGACGGCAATGTTGCTGAGGGCCGTAGTGCAGTAGTATTGGACATCGACATCGGACGAGGAAAGCAGCTGGACGAGGACGGGAATAGCACCGGCGTTTACAAGCTGTTGTCGGTTGTCGTCTGTTGCCATGTGAGCGTGGGCCGTGCGTGAATCGGCAGAGCCGCCTTACCTGAATGCGTCATGTTGAGCAGGGCGCCCGTCGCATTTCTTTGCACGCGCATGTCCTTGGACTTTGCAAGGCGTGTGAGGGGCTGCAGGGCGCCCGAGCGAGCAATCTTTGCCTTGTTGTCTTCGTGTGTGGCCAGGTTGGTGATGCATCCGACGGCGTTGCACTGGACCTCGACGTTGGGCGAGTTCATCTGCTTGATCAAGGGCGCCAGGCCGCCGAGAGCGACAATGGCGACCTTGTTCTCAGCTGCGAGCAGTCAGTACGGGCGTGCGAGGGCTGCGGCGTGGCACCTACTGTTGACTGCGAGGTTGCCCAGGGCGGCACTCGCGGCTCGCTGCACCTCGATGTCGGGGTTCTGGAGCAGGAACAGGATGGGCTCGAGCGTGTCCCGGTCGACTTCTCGGACATCTGCATCACATGGTGTTAGGTGCGTGTTGTTGGCAGCGGCGGCAGCAGCAGCAGTGGTGGTGTTGGGGTGGTGGGTCGTGTACCTCGTTCTGTTATCTCGGCAAACGTCAAGCTTGCGGACCGCTGCAAATCAATGTTGTCTGAGTAGACGAGGGTGCTTAATGCGCGGAGGGGTTCGCCCGAGAAGAAATCCGTCTCTGCTCGCTGCTCAGGGTCAGTAGGGGTGCAGTGCAGGGGTTGCGGTCGAGGAGCAGGAGGGGGAGCATGAGGCGGAGCAGGCAGCGGGCAAGCGTACGTTTTCGAGGAAGCCGAGCAGATCGGCAACAGCCTCCCTCTCGCTGTCTGCGAGCACCGGGTCGTATATGCTATCCCTCGAGCGGGCTGCCGATGCACGTTAGTGAAGGCCAATACGGCGAACCATGGGCGTACGAACCGCCGCAGCAGAAGAAACGGTAGCAGAGGTCGGAGATGCCCATGACTTTTTTGGGGCGCGGGCGCTTGCAGAGCGGCCAGGCGTCGTGGGAGCGGTGCAGGTGGTGGTGATGGGGGGGGGCGATGGAGCGGCGGAGATGGCGGGCGGGAGGGTTAGAGGGAGGCGGGCAGAGGGCCGGTCGCGCAGTCAAGAGGGCGGGCAGCTGGCGACGATGGACGTGCTGGGGGCCGGTGCGATGGGACGATGAGCTTTGGTGATGTTGTCACCCGCCCGGCGTGTCGAGGTTGGATGCGCGCACGCCCTGCTTGGCGGAAGTTGAGCTGGTGGTGCTAGCGAGCGGAAGCGTCGCCCGAGGCATGCAAGGCCAGCGCCAGCAAGGGTCGGGTCAATCCACCACAGGCGGGCTAGGCGACGAGATTGGACACGCCGCCGGGGGGCCAGATAGCGGCGGCAGCAGGTGGCAGCAGCAGTTGGCGGCAGCACCACGACGACGACGACGACTACTGCTGCCACCACCACCACCACTGCCACCACCACCATCACCACCACCACCATCACCACCACCACCGGCCGTCTGCAACGCACACAGGGTCTGCTAGCCGCGCCGTCTTCAGCGTGCCGGGCGCTGTTGTTGCGGTGAGCCAACCGGGGGCATGTCCAGCACACCAGCGACGTCATGCCGCCCCCCGGCCGTTTGACGTGTACACTGTGTACCGCCGGCCAGCAAAGACGCCAGGCGGTTCACGATAAGTGTCGCCGTGGCTGCCATTCGTGCTGTCGAGCCCACACTGCCCGTCTCTTCGCAGCGCGTGGTGGTGGTGGCAGTGGCAGCGGCAGCGGCATGGGCTATGCTGCTGCTATTACATGCGACTACGACTATGCCCATCCCACGACGCCGCACCACGCCAGGCCTGCGACGAGCCTGCCCCACGCCATGCTATGGATGGACGGACATGGATGATACAGACAGGACATGATTTGCAGCTCCACCCAGCACAGCACAGCACCAGCAGAGCATCAGCACCAGCACCAGCACAGCGCCGGCACCAGCATCGGCACCAGCCTCACCCGCCTCACCAGCCTCACCAGCCTCATCAGCGCCACGGCCAGCACCACCAGCGTCGCGGCGCCACAGCCTGGAGCTCTGCGCCCGAGCTGCCACCACCACCACCACGGCTACCACATGTATTATGTATTCCTGCCCTATGCATCCTCCCGGGAGCGCGCCGAAAGAGCGGCCTCAAGGCGGGGTAGGCGGGCGCCGTCGACGTCGCGCGCCGCCGTCACCGCCGCGGCCAAGGTGCGTCGAGGGCGCCAACCACGGCACTCGGGGCCCAAGTGCCAGGCCACGGGCAACGGCGCGAGTCTTGATGGCGAGTGCGAGCACCGCAACGACAAGGCCACCAAGTCCATGGGCGGCGCAATCCCATTACCCTTCGCTGCACGCTCATAGGCGCACGCGGCCCCGGCGCTGCGTTGAGGGCCGCTCACGTGCCGCTCTGCCCACCTTGCCCGCCTGTTGCCCGCGCCTCCGCTGACGCCCGCCTATTAACAAAATGCGTGGGGGATGGGGGCCATGGGCCGACCACACACGCTGCGACCGCTGCAAGGTTTGCGTAAAAAAAGAAGCCTGCGCCTGCACACACACACACATACGCTCTCTTACTCTTGCGCACATACTCCTGCGCACGCCCGCCTCCCTCTCACCCTCTCGCTCTCACTCTCTCACTCTCACTCCCACTCCTGCACACGCACACGCACACACGCACACACACACACACACCACCCCCTTCATCTCTCTCTCCCCTTTAATTACCACCACGCACTGCCGCACGCCCATCCTCGCTGCATATAGCATTGACCTTGCCACCCCCCCTTCTTCACACACACACACACTATCTCTCTCTGGCATTGTCGTTTGCCCGGGCGCGACCGTAATTTTCCCGTTCCTACCGCCGCCCTGAACCCGCAATCCCACTTCCAGTATTGCCTTCGCTCCCGGTTTCGCCCTTGGCTGCCCACGATCGCCGCCCCACGAGCGCCGCCGCCGCCGCCGCATACATTAATACACGCCCGCCCGCCGGTGCTAAAGAGGTTTGCATTCACTGTAGAACCGGTTTAATGGCCCCAACTTCAGAACCCTCACACTCTTTCCAGAAGCTCAGACTCGACACCTCGACGCCGCACAAGCCCGTCACCTCAACCTTTGCCTCGTTCGCGCCTCTCGCCCGCAAAGACTCGCCGCACGCTGCCCCTGGCCATGTCCAGTCCCAGCTGACTGCCGAGTTCGCGGCTGCTGCCCCCAAGGCCAACCCCCACGCCGCCTACCAGAGGCGTGGCCACCGCAGCCCCGACCCCTCGGACGACTTTGGCCATGAGGGTTCGCTAGCCGTCGGTAGCAGTGGCAGCCGCCGCGAGGATGCTGCCACCGACTACTATGCCAGAGACTACCGCCACCGCAAGACGAGCATCAGCTTCAACCATGAGGTCCGCCTCGACACAGGCGAGGGTGTCGGCCTCGGCGTGCCTGTGCCCAAGACCAAGACTGCAAGGCAGTCGCACTCGCAGTCGCACCGCACCGAGGCGGGAAGCTTCTCGGATGGCTCCCAGCCCGACTACCTCGAGCTGCCGTACCGCGCACGCAGAGGCATGCAGTACGGCGTCGGCCAGTCGCGCTTCCCTCTCGTCAACACGACGGCCGCCAACCTTGCGCGAGCCAGCGAGTTCCCCGACCAGGTGGCTTCGCTGACGTCGGACGCAACAGCCTCGCCGCCCCTCGATGAAGCCCAGACGCCCCTGGAGACGCCCACCGAGTACATGCTGTCGCCAATTCCCGCCACCTCGCCCGTCGAGTTCCCCCTCTTCTCGCCCTCGCCACGCCGCATGGGCATGCCCCGGACCAAGAGCTACCGTTCCGAGATGGGCGAAGATGGAAGCCTCCGGCGAGCCAGCCGCCGATCGTCTGGCCGCTCTGGCCGCTCGCTGTCGTCCATGTCGCCAGCTGCCTCGTTTCTGGCGCGGTACAAGGCGTCCGAGGCCCCCATCCGACCGCCCCAACCCGACGATGAGGGCCAGGGCATTGGCTACGACAGCGAGTACATCATCGGCAAGCAGATTGGGTACGGTGGCTTCAGCATTGTCAAGGAGGTGACGAGCATGGAGAATGGCAAGCCCGTCATCGACGCCGTCAAGATTGTGCGCAAGATGCAGAACAACAAGTCCGAGTTCGAGAACGAGCAGATCCAGACGCAGTTTGACCACGAGGTGGAGATTTGGCGCTTCCTACGGCACCCCTACATTATTCCGCTGCTCCGAGTGTACACGACCGACTACGCTACCTTTTGCATCACCAAGCTGAACAAGGGCGGGACGCTGTTTGACCTGATCCGCGACACACGCCGGAAGAGGATCAACGGGCTGCCGGCCCACTTGGCCAAGCGCTATGCCTACCAGCTAGCGTCGGCCATGCGCTACCTCCACAATGACGTGCAAGTGGTGCACCGCGACATCAAGCTGGAAAACTGCCTCCTGGACATGACTGTGCCCAATGCCGAGGTCGACGGCGGCGACCTTTTGCTCTGCGACTTTGGCATGGCAGACTTCATCATCAGCGACCAGCGCGACGGCCCCGAGCCGCACTCGATTGGCGACAACCAAAACATTGGCCCTGCTGAGACTAGCACGTCGATCGCTGGTAGCTTGCAGTATGCCGCCCCCGAGCTGTTCAATACTCCTGGGCCCGTCTTCTCGCCAGCGGCCGACATGTGGGCATACGGTGTGGTGGTGTACGCGCTGCTTACCGCCACTTTGCCATTCAACGATGGCCTGGACATCAAGACCATGGAGAAGATCCAGGCGTGCCAGTGGGACGCGGACCTGGTTCGCAACTCGGAGGCGGTGCGAGATGGCGATATCGAGGATGCTCTCGACCTGCTTCGCGGCTGTCTGGATGTCGACTGCGAGAGGCGGTGGGACATTCACGATGTGCTGGACTGTGCTTGGCTTCGTGGTTGCGCAGAGCGCTACGAGCATGTCTCGCGTCCATGGGTTGCCGAGTCGTGAGAGGGTGGATTAGCGAGTGTGTATGAATAACGTTTGGTGTTGGTATGGGTCGGGCTGCGTCACGCACTGGGATACCCCATTGGCATCACTTCTTTTTTTTCCTTTCCTTTCTTTTCTCTATTTGTTTTTTTGGTTGATTCCCTTTTTTTCACGCTGAATTTTCACTGCGGCGCTCTTCACGGCCCGACACTGTGCGATTCAGTCACTTCAGTTGGCTATTGGATACCCTGCTTCGGTGATTGGATTCATGATTATGATTGCTTCTGGCGTTGTCTCATCGATGGTTGGCTAGGGCCCAGGGTTGGGTTGGGTCTCATGATGGATTGTACGCTGCTTGGCTTCGTGATAGATTTGACTGCCTTTGGTCGGCCTGTTGCCGTGTCCACTGACGCATCATCGGCTCACGTAGTCCGATAGCTGTATGTAAAAGTGAAATAATGTATTAGCTTGTACCAGTTGCAGAAGACGATCTGAGGTGCCGTCGGGCGTTGACACACGACCGTGACACTGGGGCTTGATGGGAACGTGGCCGTGGCTGGCGTATGGTGCTTGGGCATAGCCAAGAAGGTTGGTTGCACCTCACCTCTGGCAGCAGCTGCAGGTATGCCGATGGCACTTTCCTCTTGTAGGCAGGCTACGGTAGGGATCTGCAAGCCTTTCCCCGCACTACGCATGCATCGCCCATGCTTAGTGCCCACCGCCCAAGGCTGCCTGGCTACACACTCGCTCTCACTCACTCACACATCCTCCGTCGCTCTTCAACACCCACCAAGTAGCGTCACGAGCATCGTCAAGTCTGCTGCCGCTGCCGGCCCCGCCATCCACACACACCCTGCACCACGCAAACGGCCGTTCGCCAAGGCCCTACGCCATACCAACACCTGAACACATACTCACCTACCCTGGCACACACCCCCCCCCGGAAGCCTCCGATTCCGCAGCAATGGGTAACAATGGAAGCAAGCCGCATGACCACAGCAGACCAATTCCCAGGGCCCTTGCAAATGAAGCCCTGCTGCCCTGGCCAGCCTTGTGCCCACAGTCTAGACTCGCGGATTGACCACAGCTTATTGCTCCCAAGTCAGCTGTACCGCTGCAGCCATGCTGAACCCCCGTTCGTCTTGGAGACTTTGCCGATTTTTTAGCGACTCCCTTGACTAAAACGTCACTCGTCTGGCTGACGCTCCCGTCAATAGCGCCGCAGTCTAATAAGCTTTGCAATGCAAGAAATCGCCTCATGCCGTTCGCCATAAGACCCGCCCGCAGCCGGCAAACAGCATATATTCGGCGCCCAACGACTGGACGCCTTTCCCCAAGATTGACCATCTCACCCATTGGCGCCAACTGTCGAAGCTTACAGCTAGCCGCCGCTCCGTCTCCATTTTAGCATTGCCTCGCCTTTCATTCAGGTTAATTTTCCCCCGCGTGTCACATCGTCGAGACAGCCCTGTGAATGTACTACTGACAACGCAGCGTGACACCAACATGCCACCACGTGGATTCATATCAAGCAGATCAAGCGCCATATTCATCTGCTTCAGATTGGTCCCCCGTTTTTTTTGTCTACCACATGCGTTTTCTCGCTGGCTAAATCGGACTAGTTGCTGCTTGTAGGATTTACGAGTCTTGCTGCGGCCTTAACCATGGCGCCGTCTGTTCAGTTATTCATGCCTATATGCACTCCACCAAAAAAAAACTGGTGCACCCTGTACCGGTGTCCGGACGAGGGGTGGTACGTCTACAGGGCTAGCTGCAGTAAGCCTAATGTAACATTGCGCGGATGTCGAATTTGGGACCGCATATATAAACTCTGGTAGCCGTGGCTCCTCGCAGCCTCTCGCATCCACTCGATGGCAGCGTCTTGTCACCAACATGCATCTTCCCATCCTCATCACGCTTAGTGGCTTGTTTCATGCAGCTGCCGCTCAGTCCGGCTCTGCCTTCATTCCGGCGCGCCCACCATCACTACCGCTGGTCGTCAAAAGCCCTTACCTGAGTGCATGGTTTCCAGCGGGGCGCGATAGCGGCAATGGCGGTTACCTGCCAGGTCAATGGCCGACATTCTGGACGTTTGTTTGCTCTCAGCAGACTATCCAACCCCTAGGCTAACCATCTGCAGCGGCCAGATCCTAGGCTGGGCCGGTTTGATCAAGGTTGATGGCAAAACTCTCGTTTGGATGGGCGCACCGAGCGGCTACAGCAACCTGATCAACCAGACTTCGTTTGAATACACATCAACCAAAAGCATATTCACCTTCAATGCTTATAACAAAGTCAAATTGCAGGTTACCTTTCTCTCACCACTTACTCCGAATGATTTGAAGCGTCAATCGCTCCTCTTCTCTTACATTAACGTGGAAGTCACCTCGCTAGATAACTTGGAGCATAATGTCCAGGTCTATACCGATATTAGTGCTGGTGAGTAGCGACTTCAGCTCCCATGAAGCCTGCTTGCTAAGTGTCATTAGAATGGACTTCAGGCGATAATAACAACATAGCCCAGTGGAATTTTGGCACCACATCAGACGGCATCTCTTACCACAAGGTGTGGAAGCAGAACCAGCAGCTTTTCAGTGAGGCCAACGACCATGCGGAATGGGGAAACTGGGTACGTCAATCATTGCGATGTTACGTTTCGACTCAAGGCTAACCCACTTAGTACTACGCCACCAAATCAGTAGACGGCCTGACCTACAAGTCTGGGGCTGACTCTGACGTCCGCGGTGCTTTCGATCGTTCTGGAAAGCTTGATAATTCAAAAGACACTCAGTTTCGCGCAATCAACTCTCAATGGCCTGTTTTTGGATACGCCGTGGATATGGGCTCAGTAGGCACCCAAGGAAAGAGCCAGCTGTTTACGATCGGCTTGTGCCAAGACTTGGCCATTCAGTTCCTCGGCGCTAATGGGCTCACTCTTCTGCCTTCGTTGTGGAAGAGCTATTTCGCAGATGATCTCTCTGCATTGTCATTCTTTTACAACGACTATGCCGACTCAGGCAAGCTATCTACCCAGCTTGACAATCAGATCTCAACTGACTCAAAGGCGGTTGGCGGAAACAATTACGCCATTTTGACTACTCTGGCAGCCCGCCAGGCATTCGGAGCCACGCAGCTCGTTGGCACACAAGAAAAGCACTACCTGTTCCTCAAGGAGATTTCATCCAACGGTAACACACAGACGGTAGATGTCATTTATCCTGCCTCGCCCATTTTCTGCTACACCAACCCAGAGCTGCTCAAGTTGATGCTCGATCCTCATTTTGAAAACCAAGAGAGTGGCCACTATCCGAACAAATGGGCCATTCACGATCTGGGCACCCATTACCCGAACGCTACCGGCCATGCTGACGGTAAAGATGAACCCATGCCGCTGGAAGAGTGCGGTAACCAAATCATCATGGTATTGGCGTACGTGCAGCGATCTGGAAACACCGATTACATCAAACAGCATTACAAGATTCTCAAGCAGTGGGTAGAGTACCTTGTAGAAGACAGCCTTTACCCAGCCGAGCAGCTTTCAACAGACGACTTCGCCGGCCATCTCGTCAACCAAACCAACCTCGCGCTCAAAGGCATCATCGGCATCGAAGCCATGTCACGCATGTCGGACATGATTGGCGAGAGCGCCGATGCCAAAAACTACACATCAATTGCCCACAACTATATCGCAAAATGGGTAGACCTCGGCGTGAACAAAGCCGCCAACCCGCCCCACGCCATCCTCAATTACAACAACGCCAGTAGCCATGGCCTCCTTTACAATCTCTACAACGACCGTCTTCTCTCGCTCAAACTTGTCCCAGATGACGTCTACACCATTCAATCCGCCTTTTACCCCACCATTGAGCAAAAATACGGTGTCCCCCTCGACACGCGCAATCCCTACTACACCAAATCCGACTGGGAGGTCTTTTGCGCCAGCATCGCGAGCAACACCACGCGCGAGATGTTTCTCGATGACCTGGCCACATGGGTGGGGCAGACACCGACGAGCAAGCCGTTTACGGATTTGTATGAGACCAACGATGGGACGGGCACTCCTGGCATTGATTTCAAGGCAAGACCGGTCATGGGTGGCATGTTTGCGCTGTTATTGGTCGAAGGGAAAGGATATACTGCGCCACAGGGCGCGGCATGATGTCTTTTTATCTTCTTCAATTATGAATGTGGAGATTGGGATTTTCCTTGGCGGATTTACTACTATATTTATTGTGCTAATTCCACAATCAATGGTAAAACGTTATATCTTCATCTCATCTTATTTCTTCTTCCCTTTCCCTTTTCCATTCCTCCCACTCTTTCCCCCCGTCTCATTATCATCTTCCACGGCCTCCGCCTCTAACGCCTTCTTTTCTGCATACACGTTCCCCTCATACTCCACATCCTCGACCCACTTCTTCGCAACCAAAAACCGCCACGTTGCCGCGCTCACGCCCGCAAAAAATAGACTTATCACGCCTACCGTCTTGGCGACCGAGTAGAGCCTGATGGACGCTATGTAGCGCAGAAGCGGGGTAACAAGTATTTTTCTTTGGTCCTGTGAGATTTTCATCCTTGTAATCAGCTCTTGTTCTCATTTTCTCTTCATCTTCTTCTTCTTCTTCTTCTAGTGTGCAATGGGAAATACTGCCGAAGATGCAGGTGTAAAAGTAGAGAGATTGGGGAAGGGTGAAAGAAAGAAAGTAAGAAAGAGGGCAAATCGTACTTCCAAATCAGGATTCACAGAATACACTATCAAAACGAGAACAAGCAGGATTGCAAACAGCAAAACGACAGTGAGAACCTGGATTACGGCTACGATGATGGATATGTTGTGCATGGTGCGTAGGATGCGGTCGACTTCGGCTACGAGAGGCGTCACTTGGTCGAAAGCGGCGTTGATTTCGCGCGAGTAGGGTATCCCCATTTTTCTTTTGGCTCTTATTCTTCTTTCCCCTTTTTCCTTTTTCTTCTGTTTTGTTAGTTTCTTGTCGGAATTGTTGGCCTTGTTTCGTTTCTTTCTGCCTCTCTCTCTCTCTCTCTTGGAGTTCTCTTTGCCGCGCGTGGAGGAAAGGAGTGGGAATGCGGCGTTGGATTGTATTGGGCTGGGATGAGTTTACCGCAGGTTGGATGGGGATTGTCGTGAGTAAGTGAAAGAAATGGAAAGGCATAGGTATAGCATGGCAAGATTTATGCATGATGCGTGGTCATGGTAGGAATGGTAAGCGGGTGATAGGCCGCTGACGTCATGTGTGCTGGGAAGAGGGGCAGGGGTGAAGATGTGCATGGGATTTGTGGTAGAGATGAGGATTTTCTTTTACTATGGATAAAGGATGAAACTGTGTGGTGTGTGGTAATTTGAGTTGTGAGTGTTTGTATTTCCGAGAGCATGGGGTTTCTCGATGATAGGTTAGTATCGATGCTAGGCGTGTAATGTTGGGGCCTTGTAGCCCTTTCTATCTGGACTCGTTCTGCTTTTATAAGATGGAGATATGGAGATACAGGATACAAGTCCCAGTTGAGTGGTGTTATGTAGTACCAGCGTAGTTTGAGCGTCGCGAGACTGAGCAATGCGGTCAGTATGTCTAACTAGCCAACTGAATACCCGAGTCCAAGATGCAGAAATTCTCTTTGCCGAGAAGAATACATTCAGTACGCAGTATTCCAAATAAGAAAGCTCGCATGATCTTGTTCAACGTGATTCCAATCGCATCGTCGTATGAAGTATTCCATTTCCTATAATTTTTGTTGCTGTTACCTGTAGCAAATCATCTGTTCATACTTTGGATCTTCCAGGCGTGCGAATCTTTGATACAAAGTCACAAATCAAGTCATATACTCGACAAGTAACGAAGGGTGTGCGTAATTCTTTTGAAATTGTGTGACTGAGTACGTTGAAAAGATACCAAGTCGAACTCATCCTACAGATACCCACAGCCAATCCTAACTTCATCTATACGCTACTCGACTTCACTTCAACAACGACCGCAGAGTTGCCTAAATCAGTTCCGAGTATTTCTTACGATGATGATTCAGCAAAATTTAATCCAACAGTATCCTTCAAAACTCTCCAGGGACAATGGCACACTTACTACCCGAATGACGTCCCCACCCCTACACCATCCACGCCCATCCCTTCACCTCACCCACACCACACTCCTGTGCTTACTAGTACGGGACAAGGAACTCACCTAATGCACTTGTATTTATTAGCGGACTGACTCGTGGCTTACACGCCACAGACTATTTTCTAGATCTAAACAATATTTTGGAAAACATGGCAGTTAGGGACGCAGTGTCCTATTCGCCATTTGAGTTTCGCATGCGGAGCATTTATATGGGCTCTGGCTACTCGAGTTGGCGCAGCAATTTCAAGGATCTTGTAGCGCTGATAAAGTATCTGAAAGGGACAGGCATGGAGAAGAAAGTAGTGGTGATGGGGAGTTCGAGCGGTAAGGATTGGTTTCGCATTCATCTCTTTCCGAGATATTTGAAACACTGCTGATTCTGCTTGTATACGTCAAGGCTATCAGGCGATCATGACATAAGTAACAGCGGTTCTCGAGTCTCCGCCAGTGGATAGTTATATTATGCAAGCCCCTACCTCGGACCGGGAAACAGCAGGTTTAGTCATGTTTGCGGGTCTTCATGACAGTCTCCAGCATACACAAGACCTCACCGCCAAAGGAAGATAGGCATATATCATGCCTATTAGTCTAGTTCCGGGAATTTTTTCATCCTTAATCACGGCGTATCGCTGAAGCTCCCTTGTTTCTGTTGGCGGAGATGATGACTTCTTCTCGTTTGACATATCGGCTTCGACGCTTCGGTCCACATTCGGTAAACTGAACAAACCAACGCTGATTGTCATGTCGGAGCAAGATCAGGGGGTTCCACAGACTGTCAACAAGGAAGCAATGTTGAGGAAATGGGCGGCAGCAATTCCAGAGGGGCTGTTCAGCAACGAGACTGGTGTTCTGCCATTTGCTGATCACGTTCTAACAACGGAGCATTGTATCCGGCTTTTCCGAGTAAAAGTCGAGAAATTCTTGACAGAACTGCAGGTAAATGCAGTCGAGAAATAATCGAAACAAACGACGCGTTTGGTGTGTGTGCGTTTAATTTGCTTTGTGGTATCTGATTACCTAAAAAGTCGATGTATCGCATAAACCGCGTATACTTACCCATGTGCCCAAGGCCAGTCCGAAACGCCGGAGTACATTTATCGTAACACTAATCATGCCATGTATACCATGTGCTGTACCATGTATTCTACGCAATCTTTCAGTGCGGCTCACAAAAATGCCGCGGCGGCGGCCGCAGCCATGACGCCAAACTCGGCGGCCATCCACTGTCCCGGAATTGCCGTCGGCATCGCTGCGCCCGTCGAGCGTGCCGTTGTCGAAGCTCGCGCCGCAATCACGTTCCTCACGATGCTGAACTGGTCGCTAACCTGCTGCTCCTTGAAGGCCCTCGCCTTACTCGGCAGCGCCGTGTACCAGTTCGGCTTGGAAAAGAAGGTTGTTGTCTCGTCGGCTATGGTAACTGCAGCAGGGATGCTATAGTTGGTGGCGGTCGCGACAAAGGCGTCGATTTCCGAGCGCGCGGACGTGAGCGAGGCTTGGTAGGGTTCGCCGAGGGACTTTGTAAAGGAAGCGTAGGCGATTTGCGCGTTAAGGAAGACGGAGGTGGTCCAGCTGGAGGCCTGAGATTGTAATTAGCAGGTTGTGAGAGTGGTATAATGAATGACGCGTACATCTGATGGGTTCGCAAATGACGGAATGGCACTCGTGGGAATGGGAGGCTCCGTGTACACCATAAAATCAGCCTGGATGCCTGCCGCGGCGGCCAGAATGAGAAGCCCTGCTCTTCTGAACATGTCTGTGGCAATGGCAGAGGTAGCGAGAGGACGTTCTACAATACGACAACTATGTATACAAAAAGAACGAGTGGTGGCGCTACTGTAGAACGAACAGCGAATGTGAGAGACTTAAGGTCAACAGTCAGCCATGAGCGGTATATATCCCCAAGATATTCCAAGCCTTCTTTCCTCGTATCAGGCCGTACTTGCTCCACATTTTGCTGATGGCGTTGCAGCGGAGTAGCGTCGTCGGCGATTGAGGCTATGCTTCCGTGCCATGCCGTTCCATGGTAGTTGGATCGTGCAGGATCACGTGAGATCTCCGCGGCGAAAGGCCGATCCACAGCGGCAACTAAACCTTGAGATCAAGATCGCTCTGTCAGCGGCTGAAGCAGATATGCAATCAATCAATGTGGGCTAGAGATACGAGGATCTCCCAGGGGAAAAGACCCCTGCCACGACATGACATACCAACTGTCATGTGATTGAGCATCATGTGACAGACGCGCTGCAGACATACCCCTTCACCAAAATTTCCTCATTAAGGATCACCACTTGGGAACGGAACACTGATCATTACGATTTTCAGTGTCTCTAGGACGGATGTATATTGTAGCAATGTCGGTCTATGACAACCGCAAGGCAACAATGCGCCTCGGCGCTAACGACCTGCATACAGCCTGGGGCAGTGCAAAACATACTACAAGTTCGAGAGTCGCCAACAATCTTTCCTTCAATGTCAGCATTTATTTACCATTTGGACACCCAGCACGCGAACCATCGAAATGGCCATTGGTCGACTCCAAGCTGCGTTGGCTGCGGCAACGAATGAAGTGACAGTGGCGGCAGCAAATATCAACTTCGATTTCACCCTGATCAAGTGCGAAGCGCCCAAAGAATTCCAAGGACTGGGCAATGTTCTAGCCAAGAAGCGCAAAGAAAACGCCGAATATGGCTCCATTCACGTGCTGGCAAGGCAACTCGGCGCGCTTTTTGATGGAGTCTGCCACCCAACTCCCGCACTACTGGAAGCATACGGCAACCGAGCATCTGCAATCGCAAAAGCCTCACAAAAGACATCGGAACCGTATATTGGCACCCCCTTTGGTGAATACACCGGGGCTGACGGAACTTCCATCTGGGCTGCCGCTACTTCTTCAAAATGCGCTTTACACGTTCATCTGCTAGCTTGTATACTCGCGCGCATGTGGACGGCATCTGAAGCTGTTGCGATATGGACCGAGCTAGTATCCGAGCGTAAGAAGGAAATCGCTCGTAAAGTCGATGAAGGCGAGCCAGTCGCATTCGCATTAGCAGCGGCAGTCGGGCAAGACATATCCCGTCCTCAGCTTGTTGCTTGGGACACCAGCGCCAGAGCCTGGCTAAGTACTGCCGACCAATTCTCCTGCAACAAGCAAAAGCAACTCGAGTTGATACTCAAAAACCTGGACCTCGCCGTGACTGATGGCCCGGCTGTCTTTCCAAGCGTTACCAACACTTGGAAGATAGCGCTTGCAACAATGGAAAAGCTGGTGTGGGGTATGCCGCAAGCAGTCAATGACGGCGCTGCTCTGATAGGTCTATCTGCCTGGCACCTATATCCAGACATGGTCTTATACAGTCCCAAGTTTGTAGAGGTCAAGATGGAAGATTCGAATGTCGCTGAAGGGGGTGTGCTATCCCTGGGGGTTTCCCGAGGGCCGGACCTATCGGATCGCAAGCGTGGTGTACGTTGGTCCTTATCACTGGCTCAGCTACGACACTATGGACGGCCGGTGCAGGTGACAGCGGGTCTCAAAGCTGATTCTAGGTTGACGTGGCCACAGCTCACTCTTGTTACCTTTGCAGCTATACTTGAACAGTGGGATTTGGACACAACCTTGCACGAACCGCTCGCCCAACTTCTGACGTCTCTTTTTCAACACGCAAAGCCAGGATGGAAAAATGATAAGCAAATGATGCGAAGATTCAAGATACTAAGTGACGGGGCATCCAGTTACCTCAACCGTAATACTGGAGATCAAGATCTGAACCACAGGCTCATCCAGCTGGGCCGTCGAAGATCCCGCAATTTTCTCGGTACTCGTGACAGTAAACGAGAACGTTTCAACTTTTCCAGCCCGAATACTCTCATGTTAGTACTCAAAGATACAGAATCTGCAATTTTGTATCTACGTCATGCAGCAAACCGCTTGACCAATGAGCGCACGCACCCCCACACTTTTCTCATACGGCACAATATCAACTTAGAGCCTGATGTTTCCGAGTCAGTGACATCATATTCTGAGCTGTCGGATGGTGCATCATCGGATTGTCCGTCGGATTCCGAAGTACGTAACCCTACTAGCTCAAGACCAGATACTCCACAATCAGCTGCCGGTTCGTTTTTCAGGATATTCGAAGCCCTGAATGAGCCGGACATTCCTAAAATCCGCTCACCATCTGCTTTGCAGAATGAGAGCTATGTAATGATGACAGCCGTAACACCCAAGCATGAAGGGGAAACGGGAGACGCAGTTCACCACAGATGGCTACCTGCAGGTGTACCCAATATTTTGGTTCCGAATGACGAGACTTATACCCTGGATGCCCTTGACAGGTTCAAGTGCTCTGGCGATGCTGGACATGCAAAAATCTCAGTAGCTGAGGATTCTGAGACGAAAAACTACCATCCTATTTTGGGCTTTCCAGAAACCACAGCTCTGTTTGCTCGGGACTTTCCAACAAAGGATCTCTTCAACTCCATCACTATTCTCGAGGATTGCCAGTGGTGCTTGGACCACGATCTCATAGAAGCTAGGAACCTTGTGCAAGTTCTGGAACACTTTTTGTATTTACCAGCGACTGAGATTAGAGGGACACTGGATGCTCTGTCCACTGCAGCCTGGATCTATGAGGATATACCTGACGCTACCATCAATACCAACATTTTCTTGTGTGCGTTAATCAGGACGGATTGGGCTCGATCCTCCAAGTCGAAGCGGCCAAGGTCTGAAGTTGCACTCTCGATAATAGCGTTTTTTGAGACTGGCGGATACAACGTACACCCAAATCTTCTCCACAATGCTATAGCCGTTGCTTACGCAGATTCAATCTTCGTGCCGAGTGCCGTAAGTCATTTTTCATGCGCATCAAGATCACACGCTAAGAGTTTAGTTGATCCAAGACCCATACGAATCTCTCAAGACACAAGCATTTACGCCTTATCGTCGGATTCTCGGAAACATAGGCAAACCAGGACTTACCTTTCTTCTGCCTCCACTGGAACCAATGACGCGAGAAATTGACACGGGTAGCTGGAGAGTCGACTCGTATCATCAGTTCGACGGTACCAAGTCCCAATCATTCGAAAACACATTGATGCACCTGTGGTTTACAGACTATCATGTCCCTCTCTATGATGGAGAGCAGGGAAATTACGAGAATCAAATATTTCTCCTCGAATCTGTCATCTCGGTTCAGGATAAAGGTGAATGGGTTGCCGATGTGGACCCGCTACCTCTGATCTACGGTACCGCATCCTCCCAAGATCTCATTCAGGGCATAGGTAAAGGACGTCTGCGCAGGGTAAATGATCAAGTGCAATGTCGGCACAAGATGAATTCGTACTCGAAACAGGATATCACGGCAGTAGATACTTGGAATGAGTTGCTTGATATGCCAACAGGTGCCTTTGTTGTTCGAACAGGCAATAACTGGATCTCCAGATTAGCCTCAACATTGGTGGCATGCCAGCAGATGCAGGAAAAGTCACCCGATTTCGCTGTTACAGTCTGTCCGCCCGATGTCTGCTGGAACTGCATTAGGAAGCAAAGTCAGGACCATGGCTTTATATTCTAAGCGTATTCTGTTTACTCGGGTGGTACCATCATGAGGGAGAGAATCGTAGGACTTGGGTGTAAAGGTCAGAGCAGCTCTGTGGAGTATTAGTGGAAAGCGGAAAGACAAGATGGAGATAAGAATATACCGTCCATACGAAATGACTTGATGCTTGAACAAAGTGATGGAGAGATTACGGCGAGAAGGCGGTAGATGCGTTCGCTTAATGCGGTGTTGGGATCACTGCTGGAATTTCATCGTTGAGTGGATGCTACTCCAAGGTTGTCTTATTTGTTGTTGCTTGGGCCATATGGAGAAACAGGCTTATCTGGAATATCGACAGCCGGTAATGCAGCATCATACTTGATGGCAGAATGGAAGATACGTACGGAGACTGTGTTATAATTAAAATGTATTAGCTGACATATCTCTAACATGTTCAGACAACTAAGTCTCGAACCGCTTTATACCCATAACCCCTCTTTACACAGAAATATATTGTGTGCACTCTGTATATTTTTCGAGGGTCCTTCGATTAGACGTAAGTACGGGCCTGAAGAACACTTCAAGTCGATATTTACAGGCTGTACCGGAGACATTCGAGCGTGAGAGGGGGTCGTAGTTGGGTTGATAGAAGTGCAAGCTTCGGGGTTTATTGCGTCTGGTCGCTGAGAAGAATGTTGGATTATTCGAGGCTATTTGATAGATGGTAAGCTATGTATCTATTCATTGTATGGAGAACACAGCCGTCATCAGTGCCTGATGGTGTTCATATATCTTCGGCTTCGTATGCTAGCCTAGCTCTTTGGCTGTCATTCTGCTCACATTACTATGTATAGGTCAGCTAGAATGGTCATTATTCTGGAAACAATGATTCACGAGCGTCTCTTTCATGACTAGATTGCCTGGCCGCATTGGGCCTAGAGTCAATCTTGTCGAGTCCTCCACTATTTTGCATGCAGGTTGATTTGCAATGTTTTGTCAATCACCACGCCGTGAAAGGACGCGTGAAACAATCCCTTCGCTTAAAATCTCGTCTTGAGAGCAAGTATATCCGAGTACTGGGGCGAACTAACCACCAGCTAGACGCCGACAGCCGTACTAAATGTATGAACCCGCTTGGCGTACGACCACGCCACGGCAGGATTTGGTAAAGCCGCCCTTCAGGTAATGACGCTTATATCGTATTGGGAGGATCGTCGTCTGGACGCGTATTATTTAGTTTGCGCCGTTTGCTGTTTAACCTGATCGGCGTTGTACATGCGTAACGTGAGGCACGGGATGGCATAGCCGAGATGGAGAGGGCGCCAGTCAGGCAGCAGGCGTACGTGGCAAAAGCAAGTTCAGCTCCGTTGGTTCAAAGCGTTGTTGGTGTTGGACACCCGGAGATGGTTCGAATTGCACGGCGGTGGTGCGGACGCATATACCACTGTAGATTTCCTTGACCAAGCAAATTTCCCTGTCGGGAGCATTTCAAAAATTTCCTGGTCCCTGGGCAACCTGTTTGGGAAAATATTTCGTTCGTCTACCGATAAGCCTGGTTCAGTCAATCACCGAAAGAATAGGAAAATTTCCGTTACGACCGGGATAATGCCGCCTGACTCGATGCTCGGTCACACGAGTGTTGGGATGAGGTGGCCACAACGCCATGCGACTGACTATGTATAGCATGTCCAAGGAGTGACCATTAAATTCCTGATTATCCCAAAAGCCAGTGATGAGTAGGATCCTTGGGGCAGCCACCGACAAAATCAGGTGACGACGTGAACGGCAATTTAGCCTGATACCCCGGTGGCGGGGCTCCAGGATAATTGTGTTTTTTGTGGCGTGGCGCTTGCGAAGCTCAGACGACAGCACGCAGCACGCGGGACAAGGTCTTGGTCGGAGCTTCTTTGATCTTGTGCCTAACGTCAAACTGCCACTCGTTCGCCGTACCCCATGGGAAACGGGAAGTCGGAAGCACCGATTACGGGATGCGTGCTGGGGTCGTGGCAAACGAAGCTAACGTGGGTGTACGCTGCATGTGCCATTGTGACCAATTTGCAACGATGGTTCCCAGCGCTTGGTCGGTCAGCAGTTCGAGTGGGGGGAGCGTGGAGGCTCTTTGTTGTGGGTCGCCGAGAACCGCTACTGGCATTGAACAATGATTCTTCCCGCTTGTCTTGGGCGATCAGACACATTATTTGGCGTGTCTCATGATGCCCACGACAAAGACAAGCCACTGCGCGAGATGATCAGGCGGCGTCCATGTACACCTATGTACATGTATGCCTCCAACAACCCAGCTGCGCGTTGGATGCAGCTAGCGTCCAACGCAGCAGGAATTGATTGCCCGACGGCCAGGCATACCGACACAGGCAGAGATTGCTGAGAGGGTGGGAAGACGGGGCATGCGATAGGGTGTGCTGACCGGCCAAGGGTACTCATTCCTCTTCTGGAATCCGAACAAGCAATGCAGAAGCAACTGCCGCATCAGCCGCGTATGCGGGCGCTGGCTGCAGGATTGGTGAGCGAAGGGCATGGCGGCCAGAGATTCCACTGAAGGAGCTGATGGAGCTGGGGGCGAACATGTCCAATAATTGCTGGCATTCAACCGGTATGCAGCGACAGGGCGGGAGACTGGCAGCGCAGGCGAGCTCATCAGGCTGATGGGTGCACGGGTCATGGACCTTGGGGGCGTAGTGTTGGAACTTGTCGTGGAGGGCAGAGCCAGCCACCCGTTGTCGGCATCGCCCAGCAAGCGCCTAGCCATAAGCGAGGGCTCCCGCTTACAAGGTGACTGGAGTACATTGCGAGGACGCTAATCCGGCATGTGGGTGGTGCAGAATGCACCATCGCGAGATGCGGCCGTTGGAGGGGGGGTGGCGAAGAGGTGAAGTGGACTGGGTGGGTGCGCATGGCACATGGCGCATGGCATGTCGTGAGCCTTCCCCACGGGCACGTCTTAGGCCGTTGGAGGGATATCTGGGGAAGATAGCTGGGGGAGGGGGGGGGAACGGCTCGACGCGCGCTGATGGTGCTGGTGCAACAGATAAGCGGAGGGGTTGGAGGTGCGTTCCCTGCCGGTGAATGGGCGGTCCCCTGCCGTGGGGCGCTCCGCCGCGCTTGTGGACTCGTCACGTGATCGGGATAAGCCACCCAATGCTGGCGGATGGGGAACAGCGGCCTCGAGTTTCCGCCAACCACGCCGTTGCGCCTCGGCTCCATGTGCATTATCCTTTGGCTCCCCAATCAACCTGGGGCCGCCCTGGGGAAACGTCCTGTCAGGCCCACGGTGTCGGTCGCTGGGGCGCTGTAGCGTAGAGTAAGGGGCTAAAGCTAGAAGGCTGGTTAATCTATTCAACCGTAGCCTCTGCCTGGATGGCCAACGATCACCGCCTTCGAGAAGGTTGGCAGAAGCAGTTTGAGCGAAGCTGCGCCGGCAGAAGCGCCGCTCGAGGCTTGGTTGTGAGCTTCGCCAGGCACGCCGGGCTGGCGGGCCTGGGGGGCAGCCCTCGAGAGCGTCTGCCAACACAGCTTGGCTGGCGCCAGCAAATGGCTGGCCAGCACAAGAGCCACAAGATTTGCCTCGTCTGTTGCTTGTCGTCTTGACGGCTGCTCGTCCCGCATGCCGAGGCTGCTCCCCAAGGCCTGGCCACGGTATCCTGGCGGCCTCTGCTCTGGTCTATTTGCCGCCCACTCTACCCCATACGGCGCTTCATCCGCGCAAATGCAAAGTACCACACGACTCCCCAGGCGCATTTACCCGGTCCGCTAGACCGCACTTCTGGAGCCAAGTCCCATGAACCTGTGCTGCTTCCAGACCGGGATATACATACATATGCTCCACCGACAATGTCAACCGTGTCAGGCTCAGCCCGCCCCGACAAGTTCAACAGCTTATATACCCTGCTGCCCAGGTCCGTGTTTGGTTGTGCGTTTCAAACCAAACCTGCACCCCCCTCCTTCGTTGATCCCCTTCTACCAGCAGTCTCCGGACCAGGCACGTAGGACATTATGGGTTTCGCCCAAAAGTTCACGCCCAAGATGGGCGCCGTGGCCAAGAGCAAGGCCGACGTCGAGGTTGCTCAGGCCGAGGCGCCTCATCTCAAGAGGGTCGACTGGAAGTCGGATGCTGGTCTGCGCAAGCTCTACTTCTACGCCTTCTTCATCTGTATCGCGTCCGCGACCACGGGTTACGATGGGTAAGCCTGCGTCCGCTCCATTTCTACGCATCCTCAACTAACTCTTTCTAGTTCCATGTTGAACAACTTGCGTATTCTCCCCATCTGGACCAAATACTTCAACGACCCCAAGGGCGACACTCTCGGTCTTCTTACGGCTCTCTACTCCATCGGTTCCATTGCTTCACTGCCAATTGCTCCCTTTATTGCTGACCGCTTCGGACGTCGCGTGTGCATCACCCTTGGATGCATCATCATGATTGTCGCCGCCGCCATCCAGGGTGCCGCTAAGAACCTCGACTACTTTATGGGTGGACGTTTCCTTATGGGTTTCGGTAACTCTCTGGCCCAGCTTTCTTCGCCTCTGCTTCTCACCGAGCTTTGCCACCCGCAGCACCGTGCCCGTGTCACGGCCGTCTACAACTGCCTGTGGAACGTCGGTGCCATCATCTGCACCTGGCTGACTTTTGGTACCAAGCGCATCAACAACGACTGGTGCTGGCGTGTTCCCGCTCTTACCCAGGCTGCCCCATCCATCATCCAGCTGGCTGCCATCTGGTTCATTCCCGAGTCTCCACGTTGGTTGATTTCCAAGGAGAGGAACGAGGAGGCCCTCAACATCCTCGCCAAGTACCACGCCAACGGTGATGCCAACAACACCACCGTGCAGTTCGAGTATGCCGAGATCAAGGAGACGATCCGCCTCGAGTTCCAGTACCAGAAGTCTTCCAGCTACCTCGATTTCCTCAAGACCAAGGGCAACAGGTACAGGCTCATGCTTCTCGCATCTCTCGGTCTCTTCTCGCAGTGGTCTGGTAACGGTCTCGTGTCCTACTACGCCACGGACGTCTACGACTCCATTGGCATTACCGACGCCGACACCCAGCTTGGTCTCAACGGCGGTCTTACCATTCTCTCGCTCATCGTCTCCGTTTCTTGCGCCCTGCTCGTTGACCGTGTCGGTCGCCGCCCGCTCTTCATCTCTGCCACTGCAGCCATGTGCGTTACCTTCATCGTCTGGACCATCGCTTCGTCGCAGCAGGAGGCTACCAAGAGCAAGGCTGCTGGTCAGGCCGTCATTGCCATGATTTGGATCTTCTCCGTTGCCTACGCCTTGGCTTGGTCAGGTCTGCTCGTCGCCTACACTGTCGAGATCTTGCCCTTCAAGATTCGTGCCAAGGGTCTCATGATTATGAACTTCTTCATCCAAGTTGCTCTGACTGTCAACCAATACCTTAACCCCTTGGGTTTCGACCACCTCAAGCCCACCTGGAAGTTCTACACCATCTACGCTGTAAGTTGACTCACTATAAGCCCATAATGAGGATTTCTGCTAACTTGAACCAGTGCTGGATCTGTCTTGAGCTCATCTTTGTCACCGTCTTCTACGTCGAGACCCGCGGACCCACGCTCGAGGAGGTCGCCAAGATCTTTGACGGCGAGGATGCTGAGGTTGCCCACGTCGACTTGGACAAGGTCGAGGAGAACATCTTGCACAGCACCTACGAGAAGGACAACAACGTCCGCGTCGAGCAGGTCAGGACCTCATCCTAAATGCAGCCTTGATTGGTTGTGTATTCATGTCTTAATGCTCCTAATGGGGGACGAGATGTGAGTTGTTGTTAGTTTTGCGATATCCCAAGCGAGCGCATTTCGCTCGCTAATCCCAATAATGAAATGTGTTCTACACGTCTATTGATCTGTCACCTAAATTGTCCATGTCGTGTCTCCTGGGTGCCTTGTATTGGTCGATTCCTTCGCTGAGCATTTTGATTCCTTGTGTTGATTTGATGACTGAGCAATGATTTGAGGAGATTGCATGGCTGCTTGCACTCCAAATGCGTCCATGTCATTTTATATATCTAATATTCGGAGTTATTACCCGTGTGGTAAGATTCGAAGTCTGACTATGCTGTTTTCAGCTTTTTCTTTGGGCTGAACTCGAGTGTTGCTCTCTTTATGATCTGCTAATTGGAATCACACAACGAGAATGTAACGTCCTGCTTGCGTGCTGACCAATTGTAGATCTCCTAAGAATATATCGAGTTAGCTGTGAAAATCTTGTATCATAGCAATAGCTAGACAGCCAGTGTTCAGTAGACGTACCGGCTGAGTCAATCTCATAGCAATACTCTTGTACGTCGATGCCTCATGGGCTAGGGTTGTGCGGTTAAAAAAGGACGAAGGTCTTGCAATACGAAGCTTTGCCAAGGCAACCGCTACTTAGGGTCCCGGGTTAGTCACCAAGACGTCATGCACTAGACTAGCGTAGCCGCCAGCGCTTTCCCCAGATCACCTCTCTTTACCTACGCTCGTTAAGAAAGCTTTAACGTAACCAGGGAAGATTGGAAACAACCAACAGCATTCATATCGGTATGAAAATCAAATGGTAACTGTACATATGCAAGCTGGGAAATCATCTAGTCAAAAGGTGATCATCGATATTGCAAGCTTTTTGCTAATTCACAGGGCTGCTTCTTTCTATTTACAAACGACGTAGGCAATGCCGCTTCTCATTTTCAACCTCTCTTCTTAATGATATCCGCAGCCTTCTCGCCAACCGCGTAGACAGTCGCTTGGAGGTGCTGTGATGGAATGAGAGGCATAATTGATGCGTCGACGATAGACAAATGTTCGACTCCGTGGAAAAGGAGTTTCTCAGATACGCAACCGCCCATATCTTCCGGCATCATCGGACAACTGCAGGAAGGGTGCGCCAATGACGGGGTAATGGCGCCTCTCTCGATCGAAATGTCAATGATCTCGTCGTCGGTGACATACTGCGAGCCTGGTGAAGTCTCCACCAGTGAGAATCTCTCGAGCTCTGGACGAGCAAACACCTCGCGAATATAGCGGATGGATGATGCAAGAATGGCCTTGTCGAGAGGGTTGCTCATTGCGTTGTACAAAATCTTTGGGGGTCCATGAGGATTCGCAGGGTCGATCATGACAGTGCCACGGGATGCTGGCTTCTCAAGGGCAACAAGTTCGTAGTTGGCTGCCGCTGGAATACCATACTCAGCAATACCTGCCTTGTCGTTCTTGTAAAGACCAGCAAGGACCTTGCGCTGAGCTCGAACTCCCTTGAGCAGCTTCTTGCTATTTTTGTAGAGTGAGGGTACGTGCTCGTCATCTTTCTGGTTCTCCAGCTGGCTGGCGAGGCTGCTGTACCGCTTGGGGTCGACTTCAGGAAGTGGAATGAACGCCAGACTGTTGCCTCGAGCCTGTGTGAGTGGACCAGTCTTGTTGACGCGGTACTCCTCCCATGCTGAAGCATTGAATACTGGATCAGTGTTCAAAGAATTTGGGTTTGGCGTGCTCATGTTAGAGACGTTGTACGCAACACCTGTGTAGGGATGGTCCTGGAAATTTGCGCCAACACCGTCGTGAGCGAGCTTCACAGGAATACCAGCGGCCTGAAGCACAGCCTTTGGACCGATACCGCTGAGTTGGAGAAGCTTTGGAGTGTTGAAGGCACCAGCCGCAAGTACCACCTCCTTCTTCGCATACACAATCCTCGTAGTGTTCGTCTTTGTGTCGGTAATCTTCACACCTTTTGCGGTGAGCTTCTTACTACCATCAAACACGATTTCAGTGGCCATCGTCTCCAACAACACCTTCAGGTTCGACCGGCTGGAAACAGGGTCGTAGTATGAGTTGCGGGCGTGCGACCGCTCACCCGTTTCAGGGTTCATCGTGTTGGGCCACCATGACGCGCCATAACCCTCTCCATTGTTGCCGTCAACCGGCATGTGTGCACCCGCTCCCTCAAAAGCCTTGAAGTAGTACTTCAGATCAGGGTACTGGAAGTCGGAAATACCAAGCTTCAAGGGACCGTTGCCGTAGCTGCATGGTTATGGTTAGTGAGGCTTTTGGAACAACCAAGGTCTTTACTCACGCCTCAAGATCCCAGGTGATGTTGAATTCTTCAGTAACATCTGCTGGGGGAGGAATGAACGTGGTTCCTTTCTTAAAATAGGGATATAGTCCCTCCCATCCCCAGCCTTTATTCCCGAGGGCCTCCCACGCATCATAGTCGGCAGCGGCAGCTCGATCATACATCATGCCGTTTACGATGGAACCCCCTCCAAGCACTTTTGCGGCGGGCCCCCTATAAGCCAGGCCCTCCAGGAAAGGATCAGGTTGTGCAACAAAGTCCCAGAAAAGAGTGTCGTTTGTCGCATACGTTGCTCCGTATGGCATGCGGATATTTGGATTGTCATCTGCACGGCCAGCCTCGATTACAAGGACTCTCTCTGGTCAGATATCAGCATTGCCTCGTACATAATCATCGACTTGAAGGGGTTCAAGAGGACTTTTGAGGACCATGAACGCGAAAATTGACTACTCACTCTGCTTGTCTTCGGAAAGGCGATTGGCGACTACAAGGCCAGAGACACCTCCGCCGACGATCACATAGTCGTATGTGTTGTCTTCAGCACGTCTCCGAGCTGGAACATTGCCGGGCAAAGCAGTGGTTGCGCCCAGCAGGGCGACGACTACTACGGTCGTGCGTGGAAACATTGTGGTGGGACCGGAAGATAACCAGCAAATTGAGCAGCGGACCAGAACAAAGGTGCGCCATCTCTGTCAGTATCCGGTCCCGGGTTATTTAAAGAATCGGAGATGGCGAGCATTTGCCATCGCTCCCAGTCCAAACGGGTACCCATCAGTGCACGACTCGCAACATGTGCTAGCAAATTGCCATATCGCTCCTAGCAGAAATCGGTGTCAATGGACCGGCGATGGGGGCGGAAGCGGATTTTGGTCGTGCATGAAGAGAATGACAACCGCGCTGCTCCACTTGTTGAGTCAGTAAGTAGTTTGGTCGCGGCCGTACGACCAATGTATCTCCAAATTAACCGACCAGGGCTGTGTTCGGGTCGGGAAGCCCCTCCCCTCGCGCCAACTGCTGTGCCGTTGACCCTGCATCATAAATTTACCAGGCAGACGCCCAATTCATATCATTGGACTGTTAAAACCCGGAGATTGGAATACAATACATGTGGTAAACGCAACTAGCTAGCCCTTGGCCATGCGCTGCGTATCAGCACGCTACATACACACGTTCTCCGTTTATTGCTTCTGGACGAGCCGCAATTTTCCTATTGCACGGTATGCTGCACAGGTGGCACGAGCAGCACATGCCGTGCAATTCTAGAGCGAAGTAGAGGAGTTGCATGATTCATGTTCCTTCCTTTTCTGATCCAAGTTCGTGCAAGACTACGGCACAGTTTGCAGGGAGCCGAACAGATTGCGGTGTATCGCCTACCACAACAGCTACACGGTGAAACCTATCCAATCAGCCGAACATAGCTCATTATCTCCTATAGATTGGCGATCCAGCCCCCGATTTCTGGTTCTTTTTTCCACTCTTTACAGTAACCTAGGAACTACCGAGTTGGCTTGGCTTACCCCCACTAAGTACGAAGAGATCTCCGGAAAATTCCCCCTTCAATAAGTGGAGACACGGCACGGTTCGTCGTTGCCGCAAACGATTGCCATTCCGCTCTTCGAATTCCAGCACTTTGGCTCACAGGATGCTAGCGTTATGTATCAAGGTCGAGGTGCCATGATCCTTCGCCGGACTGATGCACTACAACGAATGCCCCTGAAGACGAACCCACGACTCTTTCAAAACCCATATTTTACGTGCGCAAATGCACTGAACCTGGCTATTTTCTTTAAACAACATGAAAACGAACGACGTAAAAGACAAGGGAATGCGTAGTCTTGATGCCACTCTGAACTCGATGGCAAGCAGAATTCGGTTGCCGACATTCATGCACCCCAATCCCGCCATCACGGCACTCTCAATAAAGATGGCCCACATTTTCCGTGCCCCATGAGTGCGGTGGTGGTGATATCTCTGCATAAACTAGATTAGATCGCAAGCGGCTCCGCGGGGATTGCTAACGAAGGGTTGTTACATGGAATTCTATCCGGGCCCGCCGGCTGGTGCTCAAGACAATGTGCCTAGCTTCTGGGCAATGAACTCGGCACCACTACTTATGGGGCCTTGGCATGAAGACTGAATATTCTTGACGACTTAAACTGTTCTCCACGACACATTAGTTCTACGACAGCGAAATACTCCTCATCTTACGGCACGTATTCAACGGATAGACGAGCCAGAAACGATTGGTGGACGAGAGAAACGGTACAAAGTTCCGTGTCATGACATGATGTCGTGACTAACCCTCCCTTCGGCGTTTAGGTGCGAGCGTGGCACAGTCGGTGCAAGATCAAAAGGGAAATGATAACTTTGAAGATTGTTCAGCATCGACACGCCACAGGAGTCACTAAATCCCGTGTTAGTGATGAAGCGGCCCGTGAAATCGCGCCGCCATGCTTCCTACTGGACCGGCTCGGTGGTATTGTTCAGGAGGAAGCCTTGAGGAGCTGGATGTTTATTTCGTCACATTTTTGGTCGGCCATGGAGACTTGAACGCCCCGCGGTTAGTTCCAGGTGGCTAGGACGCACCTTGGAATGAAATAAACAACGAGTGTCAGTCAGACATTCTATAATACCTTCCGACTTGCGACCTCGAGGACATGGCTCGCTTCCCAGGCGGCGCTGTAACATGACGGACTCTGAGCAGCAAGAATGGTCCGATCGTGGACCCGCCATACTAGCATCGACCTACATATTCTGCACACTTGGTGTTTTTATTCTTTGCTGGAGAATCGCATATGCCATTCGGTGCAAGCGAAAGCTTTTGGTGTCTGATTTCCTCCTCATCACTGCATCGGTAAGTCACCTCCTGATTCGTCACAAGAAAGCCGAGGATTTTGCTAACGAATATGAGTTTAGGCACTAGATATAACCACGGCATACTTTTGATGGAAAATAGTCGAACATGGCCAGGGGCGTCACATTGCAGATCCGAGCATCTCCAAGCCCGAGGATATTCTGGGCTATAGCTACCACCTCTGGATTGCCCAAATCCTCAATCTCATCGGAGTAGCCGTCCTCAAGTTTGCCATCTGCGCTTACCTATTCGCTCTCCGGTTTTCCAAAGTCTACCTGAGCTTTGTATCGGCGAGCGTTGTCATGACAATGACCTTCAATCTGCTCTTCCCGCTCATATCCGTGTTTTGTTGCACGCCACTCGAGGCCAATTGGAACAGGGGGTTTGAGGGGAATTGCTTCTTCAGATGGGAAGGTCCCGGGCTTTCGTACATGCAAGTAAGGCGTTTTTATCTTTCTCGAATGGTATTACCTAACGGGATTCAGGCCGTGTCTAATATCATCACGGACATTGTGTATGTTGCTTCGCCGATTCTGTATCTCTCTACAATCCAGCTATCTCAGCAAACAAGATGGGATCTCCGGGTGGTGTTTTGTCTGGGTCTGGTGTAAGTCAGAAGGTCTTGGAATTACCTTTTATGTGCTTTTGCCCACACTGATCTTCTTTAGTGTAACATTCTGCTCCGTTATGAAGACTACCACGCTTCCCACTCTCCTGAATACTAAAGATCCGACGTGGGAGAGTACCGATCTCGTCATCTGGTCGAGTCTCGAGCTCTCAGTAGGCATCTTGATTGCTGCTCTTCCGCCTCTGCGCAAACAGTTCGATGCCTTGTTCCGCAAGATGCTGCCCTCCACTCTCGGCAGTAGGCGCAAAACGGGGAGTAGTGGTGAAAACGCGCTACCGCTCTATGATGTGGCTACGGAGCATACGATTGGAAGCAAACCGATCCGCATTCGATCAAAATCGGAAGAAGACGATGACACGGATAGCGAGCGCCGCATCCTAAGTCCGCGTACGAGCAAAGGCGAGATCACCAAGACGGTGACACACGAGGTGCGCAGCGAAGACAGAAATAGCGTGCAGGTACCGGAACGAACGCATAACATGTATGGCTGAACTTGGGTGCGGCAAAGACAAGTGCACTACATGAAGTGGAGGCTGATGAATAGAGGAATACTTGGTGGTATTTTCTGGGAGGGATCAACATCAAAATGGCAAGTAGAAGTCTGACCATGAAGAGTATCCAGGATTCAGCAATACATGGTCTGTTACCATGGAAGAATAGGGCGATGTCTCCAAAGGAAGGATCCAATCGGACCTGTGTCATGGTCCCGTCACGTGACATGTGAAATGTAACATGCAGTAACATCGATATCCATCATTATTATATCCATCCACATATGATGCTCATCTCGGTGAGCAGCTAAATTCCCGTGGGTAGTCACATCAAATCAACTGTGCTGTCGCTCAGCCTATATCCGACATTGCGTCTCTGCATGAACGACTAGAGGTAAATAGCGCACGGCACCAGCCGCTGTAACAAGGCGACTGTGTGTTGTAAATTAGGCCCCCAGCCTCGTTTCCGAGTTGAAGCGCGCCGACGTGGTTATTCGTAGAGGTCAGCCGAGCGCGAGACACGGGGGTCGCGGGGGTATCAAAAAGAAACAATGGTGTGATATCTTGGCACGACTGACGTCATCGACGCCAACGTCTTGTTGGTGAGAAAGCTCGCTCTGAGCCAACCAGCGTGATGAGGCATTCACGATATCGGGGGTCTTAGAGGGCGGGATATTGAAACAAATTGCTACAAACGTGGACGCAGGCTGGGGCGTATACCTGAAACACGAGTGGTTATGGAGAGTTATGCTTGCACTTAGCACGCACGGCTATATGTGTTTGCGGGTAAAACGATGTGGTCGACTAGCAGGTTTCTGGGATGGTATGTCCTTTGATGGGAATATGCAGTCTGGCTAATTGCGTGTTAGTTCCCGGATGAGAGAAGACTACTCAAGTCGTACATGTCGTACAAAATAACACTCGCACTGCCATTGGCTGGGTGTATGACGCAGCATCGCGGATTCTATCGGCCCCAAGGTCCGGCATGGCGACGACGATGCATGTAAATAGCAGCCAGAAGCCCTTGTTGTTTGTACAAGGAAATACCATCTCTGAAACCATTCAGCACAGCATGACGTTTCCGGTTCTCGTCTTCGGCCCAGGTGGGTCAGTGGGCAATGCTGCAGCCATCGAGGCACACAAGCGCGGTGCTAAAGTCTACCTTGCGATGCGGGACACGAGCAAGGAAGCCAACGGAATCCAAGAGGGAGGAAAGGAAGATGGCTATGTCCGCGTCCAGGCCGATCTCTCCCAGCCAGACACGATCAAGCATGCGGTTGAGATATCCAAAGCAGAGGCTGCTTTTGTCTACACCGTGCACGGTATGCAGGACCACATGCGAAGCGCGTTTGAGGCTCTCAAGGCAGCAGGCATATCGTATATCGTTCTTCTCTCCACATTCCGCGTCAGAGAACCGCCGAGCTCAGAAGCCAACATGCAGAACACGATTGGCGCTATCCACGCTAAGGCTGAGATGGCGCTCCAAGGAACCGGCGTTCCCTACACGGCTGTGCGCCCGGCCTACTTCAACACCAACGTGCTCTGGGGCCTCGAGGGCATAAAAAAGGGGCGGGTCGAGCTCATCTACCCCAACGCGAGGTTCGACTATCTCGCGCCCGCTGATATCGGGGCCGTGTGTGGCGCGCTACTCGCTGAGCCTCAGCTGCGTCTAGACGCCGGGCAGTCGATATACCTCTGCGGGCCAGACCTCATGACTCAAAGCGAGGCGCATAGCACCATTGCGAGGACGCTAGGGCGCGAGATTCAGATTGTGGAAATCGACGAGCAGACGTGGTTCTCCAGACTGCAGCACATGCCGCGGCCGCTTCTAGAAGATCTGGCGCATGACCTGAAGGAAAACAGCGGGGGCAGGGATTTGTATGGCGGCATCTACGAGCAGGCAGTGCGCAACGTGGCGACGTATTCGGGACGCGAGGCGACAAGACTGGGCGCGTGGGTCGAGGCGAATGCGGGCGTGTTCGCATCGTAAGTCAGTGGGTGGCGTAAACTCTAAGTATTATTATGACATGGAGACGGGTAGGTGTAGTGGTAGTGGTAGTGGTAGTGTGTAGATATGTCATGGCCCAGCGGCCCGGGCCACAAATAGACGACCTAGCGCGGGGGACCGACGCTGCATGCTTCAGCGCGACAGGGGCCTGGTGACCACGCTGAAACCCAGCACGCGACGACTCCAACCCCGCCCTCTCTCCCTATACACATACTTATTCCCTCCCTCCCCCCGCCACGCTGGGCCGCCAAACAACACTGCCCTCGTGCTCCCCCCCAGCGCCATGGCAGCAGCCCTCGCAGTGTCCCCCCCGGCGCCCTCACTCCCCACCAAACCAGGCGCACACGATGGCCACATGCACCCCAGCAGCTGCCCGGCGTGCGGCCACTCGCTCAGCACGGCGGCGCTCGACGAGGCCAAGCGCAAGATTGAGGAGCTGGAGGCACAAATGGAGCGCCTAAAGGAGAAGGCCACGGCAGCTGGTACGTTCCTTGTTACGCCGAGAGCCGGCACACTAAAAAACAACGCTCCCCCCTCCCCCCCCCTCCGCCCGGGGGCTGTGTATATCAAGCACTCCGACGCTGACCAGCCTGCCAGTGGACAAGTGCGCCGACTACGAAGACCAGATCCGCAGCCTCAAGGCCCCCAGCCAGCGCGCCGCCAGTCCGCTCCGCACTCTCACCTCGCAATCCGACACGGCTGCCGAGCTCCCGCGGCCCACGACGGCAAACTCGACAAAGTCGTCGCGCTTCTCCTTTATCACCAACCGCTTTCCCTCGCCCGCAAACGCTGTCTCGATGCCTCCGCCCCCGCCGCCCCCCAACGACTACGCCCTGCTCAACGAGCTCGAACGCGAGCGGGCCCTGCGCGCCAAAGCAGAGGCTCGCGTGCAGACGGTCGACACGGAGATTGAAGAGCTGAGCGTGCAGCTGTTTAGCCAGGCCAACGAAATGGTGGCCGAGGAACGGCGGGCGCGAGCAAAACTCGAAGAACGCATCGAGATGCTTGAGCGGAGAGATAGGGAGAAGATGGGGCGCCTGGATCGCCTCGAAAAGGCCGTCAGTCGCGTGGAGAGGGTAAAGGCGCTTTTGAATGAGAAGGAGGCTCGAAATGCTGATCTTCTGGCAACCACCAACGTCGTGTTGTCCTTATCGATTCCTTCAAGACGATGAACATCCCTACCGTTTTTGTCGTCATCGTCATGGTCATCTCCTATTAGCGTTGCATCTCGTAGTACGATACCCTATTTTTTTTCCTTTTTTTCCTGGACATATGAATTTGCTTTTTAGCATAGCGTTGGGGCGCGACGAGTCTGTAAATGGGCATGGGGGGATTTTGCATTGCGTGGATTGAGTATTACATTGCATGGCGTTTGGGGGTGGCCGGGACAAAACAATGGTTTGCTGCAATAAAACTTTTTTTTGTATTTGGAATTGCTCGTTTCAACATGTTTACTCCAAGTGTTTGGAAACCACGTAAACCAGGATTATTGTTTCTAGACTGACTACCTTGCACAGCTGAACGAGGCTAGTGAACTGTCGCAGTAGCTGAGGAAGAAGTTTACTTTGGCAACCTTGGTGTTCTGCGAACGCTGCTTATAAGGATACAGGAAAAGACAAACGGTACTAGCAAGAGTGCTGTGGCTATGACACCGAGAAGCGAGTTGCCCTACTCAAGGTACAATTTATCATACATACTTGCATGGCAGAACCGGCAAGCGGAAAAGACTGTGCCGAGAATAGCCACTGTCCAATCCACCTGGGCACGTGTGGACTATCTGTACTGGAACAAGCCAACTGCCGTGTATACCTTACCAAGCATTATTCGTCGTAATTGCTACTCTGGCTTTGCATCACTACTTTACGCCTTTTTTTTTCTTTCGGCGAAGCTTGTAGAGACTATTCTTGGTTGAACCACATGGAATGGACAAGGCTTCTCGATGCGATTGCAGTCGTGCAAATATACTGCCCTGCTCATGGCTCGTGACATGACTTTATTCTACGAGCGCGATATGTAAGATAAGAGGACGCGAATGTGCACATCACTGTAACAGCAATGTGATGATAGTATCGATACTCCCAATGATAACCTCCTCAAGCTCAGATTCCAATGTCAGATTATAATACCGCACAGTGTGGATTTCTACCCGAGCACCAAACTCAGCATGGCCATTTCCATCATTCTGCCAAAGTCAAATTCCATTCGTCCGCACCGACGACATATTCCACATACCACCTCTAAGCTGCCACATACGACCATAGGAAATTGAAAACTGGCTACCCCGTTGGATCTAGCAGACATAAGCAATTTTCCGGTGAGTCAGTAGTCAGGTGGGAGACCACTGGCGAATCCTCGCTGTTGTATGTAATTTTTTTTTATTTGTTGAAGATTTTGCTGGTGGGGTGTGGATTGGTTGGGAGAGGTGGGTCTGGTGGAGGACTTTGGGGGTTCGCGAGCAAAATGACTAGTGGGGATGGTGCAAGAGGTGCAAGCTACGTAAGAAAATCGGTGGCAGATTGCATGTATAGATCAGACTATTAAAATATATGTGTTATTATATTGTACTATATACCAGCCATAAGATGGAACGATTATAGAATTGTATGATGAACTGATACAACACCTCGGAGATAAGTCTAGACGAACAGTGGCCCGTAACCAGTCTGTCCGCCCCTCTCGATATCCGCCTCCATGGGCTTCTCATAGAGAACCCCGTTGGATGCAGCGCCCTCGGTCACGGGCAGCGGCATCTCCCTCCACATGTCCTGGATCCTCTTTGCGCTGTCGAGAAAACGGTCCTGCAGCTTTGTGTAATCGGGCACGGTAAGCTGCGAGTCGCGCTTCTTGAACTCTCCGTTAACCATGACGTGCTTGATGTCGCCCACGTTGGCATGCAGCATGATTGCGGCGATGGGATCCGTCCAGCCGAGCACGCTGGGAGCACGGCCATTCCACACGAGAAGGTCTGCCTTTGCGCCTGCAGCCAGGATGCCAATGTCTGAGCGCCGCAGCGCCTGCGCTCCGCTGCGAGTCGCGAGGAGAAAGGCTTGGTTGACAGACATGGGGTTGTTGGCAGGCAGACGACGGTGGTCGACGACTTCACGGAACAAAATCTTCCTTACGCTCTGAAGCCACAGGCGTGCTTGCGTCAGAATGTCCGTGGAAAAGGTAAAGTGTGTGTCGATTCCAAGCGCGATTTGGTCCATGATGAGATGGCTGTTTGGATGCAGGTGGCCGTAGTGCATTTCCGACTCTGGCGTCGTGGAAATGTAGTGGTTGTGCTGGCGCAGCAGTTGGGCGTCCGTGGCAGAGTGGTAGCTCCCGTGTGCGAAGATGATGGGGATGGATTCGTTCAGGAAGTTGAATGTGTCTAATACTTCGGGGAAGTTTGGGGCTCCGTACACGCCGCCGTTGGCGTGCGTCGTTAATACGGATACATTGTGTTCGCTGGCACAGAGTCAGCACAGTCTTAATGCTTCGTTAAAGTCACTTACATGGCCAGGTCCAGGACTGAGCGCGACTGGCTCTTGTTGGCGCTGCTAAAGTAATCGTACGAGATGCCCAGGTTTGTAGTCGAGTTCTTGAAGCGCGAATCGTCGACTAGTCTCTGGAACAGCTCCGTCTGTCCGTCAACAGTAAAGTTTGGGTAGTCTTGGAAGTAGTAGGCCCATTCGACTCGGGCGCCGCTTTCAAACGTTGCGTTGAGCGCTGCCATGGCGTGTTCGGCGGACCATGTGCAGTGGGGAAAGTCGACAATAGTAGTGACGCCTCCGTTGATGGCTTCATACAATCCGACCAGCTGGCCAATGTACACGTCTTCGGGTGTGAGCTGTTTGCCAGCGGGCGAGTCGGTGCCATAGCGCTCAAAGTATCTCATAAGAGTCGTGTTGGAGCCGAGTGTCTTAAAGGCCGTCTGCCAGCTGTGGCGGTGCGTGTCGATAAAGCCGGTTGATATAATGTCGTTGGTCGCATCCACGACTTCCAGGTCAGAGGGCGGTGTGCCATTGTAGCGTCCCGAGAAGACGGCAGAGATGGAGTCGTTTTCCACCAGGACGGACCCGTTGCGGATAACGTCGAGATAGTCTGCAGAGGCATCCCAGGTGATTATTGTTCCGCCCTCGAAGAGCGTTGCAGCCTCGCCAAAGGCAGCATACGATGCAAGGGCGCAGAGAAGCGAGGGTCGGAATACAACGTCACGAAACAGCATACTGGGGATTTCGATGGTGGCTCGATGCACCAACTACACCTAAACGCCGCAATTTATATCCCATTGCCCTTCTCGCAACATCCACCATGGGAGCACAGCATCACATCATAGCTGTCGCCTGCGAGTGCAAGACTGCCGTCAGCCTTGCAGGTTCTGCGGCCGATGACGTGCAGCCAAGATGGGGGTGGGAAAAAGCTTTTTGTAACATGATCCATGGTGATGGGCGTGGGCCAGAAACGGAGCCTGCGGTACAGGGAATGCCAGTGGAGCTCGGAAAAGATGCCCCGTCTTCAGTCCCACGTGGTGAAAGAGAATTCGGCGGCTCATTTCGCACACGCCAGGCAGTGGGGTTTCCTTTTGCTAGCTCAGCGTCACGTGCATTGCGCACCGGCCTTTTGTCTTTGTGCTTAAATACAGCGCGGCCCCCCGGTGTTGGAGCTTCATACTTACCTTCTTGCGATGGCCCAGCTCAAGCTTTGGGCTCATCTGATAGTCTCGTCTGCATTGCACAACGCGGTATGGGACTGTCACGAGCTTCCTTAGGGAATCTCGGCGGGGCAATTTTTGCTGGTCTGCTTTCGAGCTTTTCATTGATGATATCGCCGTGGCGGTGTATTGAGGAAGGGTTGAAATCGAGAGAGATCAGAGTGGAGGGGAAAAATGAAATGGATTGCGCACGTGATTGAGCTTGGAGAAGCGCAGGGATGAACAAAACATGACATCACCCACGACATGTGTTGCGCATCATCGTGCCAGGCCTGTCACCCAACTGAATACGTGCACGAAAGGAAGACGATGTTGCGACACGATAGCCTTTGTGTTTGTTCCGTGTCATGGTCAGTCATCAGCCTCTCCCACGCGACAAGCGGATGGATACACGTGCACGTGAGGCTGCACCTGTGCTCTGGAAATCACGACCCTCAGCTGCACGTGGTGGCCGTACCATTTCCAAATCGGTGCTGCGTTGTATAAATCGGGGTTCATCTCTTTCTATCACCAAGTAGCTGTTGAATCTGGTGACTGTAAGCAGTGAAATGCTACGTTTGTGCACCAAGCACATTCTAGCCAGAGGAGGACGTTGGCCGCCATGTTCGTGAATAAGTCCAAAACGACTACACAGAAGCTATATAAGGTACGCACCGTCTAGAGTATCTGCAACGACCTGTACGTCAATGTGAGCCGAGCATGTTGAAGTTATTCCGCGGACGCAGCCTGGATCGTGGATACGTCACCGATACTGAAACCAACACCTTCAGCAAATATGATCGACAGAAGATGTAACAGGATTGAATTCTGGGCTGCGCAGTGATCAATCTCTGTGAATGAGGCCCGCAAAATACGTGGAGTCTGCGATTAACGCTTTGTGGGTCGGTAAGTGGCAAGCTGCACAACGCACGCAAATCTCCTGTGGTACACTACACCTACACCTTCACATGTCCTTGTCTCCAACATGTCAAGCTCGCATTTCAGTACGGAAGCGCGCAGACTCCGTCTCACTTGCAATTGGACTCAATCGGTCGGGAAAAAGCACCGAGGGATCCCCCGCGGAGTGCCTACATCATCAAAGATGGCTACATTTCGTCACAACAAATCCTGTGCGTGAGACAAACGAAAGGGCTACGCACATGGATCCCGAATCCGAGTACGGCTACCAATCAGAAGTCACAGCAGATGGTACAATATCTGCTAACTACTGATAGCTAAACGCCATGTACATGTCAATGTAAACCAACTCCATGACGCGTTAACCTCGAGCAAAGGCAAGACCTTGCATGAGCATAGTCAATCTCAACGTCATGTATTCATTTACATGTACATAAACCTCCATTTCAAAAGGCTGCCACCAGATTGTCAATCATCATAAAAACCGTCCAAGATGCCCTTCACTTCTCGACTCCGCCCCATCTACCGACCTTTGATCCAACAAACACACATCTTTAAAAAACCTTCCATCAGAATGTCTTCCACCAACCAGCACGGCCAAGGAGCCTCCCACGCCACGGGCGACAGTGCAGTTCCTCACAAAGTACAAGAGGCAGCACCCAAGGGTCTCGAGGAGTCCCTCCCGGATGGCGTATGTTTCCCACACCTGCATTTATATCTCAATGCTAACATAGCATCGCAGGTTCACCCCACAGGCAGTGACCCAAGCAACAAGTCGACTGGCAAGACCCATGCCCTCAACGATGGTGACGACTCAATTGTCCCCAAGAAGGTGCAGGAGGCTGTTCCCGAATCGGTTGAGAAAGGTAGAGAGAAACAAAATTTCCAAAATATAATCTGCTAACTGGATGGAAGCCCTCCCCAACGCCATTCACAACACTGGCTCCAAATAAGCGTCCTGTCTCAGTTAGATCCATGGCATGAACAGCAAGTCGAGGTGGAGAAGCGATCGATCCAAAGTGCTCTCCTGAGCCATCTGTATATAGCCAGACATTTAAAACCATCTTACATTGAAAGATGCCCTCGCTTTCGTGTTTACACTACGCATCGCCAGCTGAGCTGCAACTGAGCAGTGAGTACCTGACACTAGCACTAGCGCATGCCGTGGTCAAAGTGACGTTGGCTGTTGCCCCACCACCCCTCCACGCCTCGTGCGTTTTTCGAATCGCCATTGCTACAAACACTCCGCCACCCTCTATAACCCTACACTCAAAATGGCGTCCGCTGCCCCTGCTGATATCCAGGGCCCTTCCCATCCGAATCCGGAGGGGCTCAACACCTCTGCAAGCACGCAATTCCCTCCCATCAACATCGGCACGCGCAACTCGGTTCTCGCGCAGATCCAGGCTCGCGCAGTCGAGGCGAGTTTGAAACAAGCATATCCCCATCGCACATACAATATATGCCCCGTCGTGGTCCAGGGAGACCGCGACAAGATCACGCCGCTGCAGCAGCTGAGCCAAGGCGAAAATGCGAAAAGCTTGTGGACGGGAGAGTTGGAGAGCATGTTGGAGGCGGGCGACCTGGACATTATTGTGCACTGTCTGAAGGGTACGCGCATAGTATTTGCAGCTGAAACAGGAACACACTAATCGCGCTGTAGACATGCCCACACAGCTACCAGAACACCTCGCGCTTGGTGCCATACTCGAGCGTGAAGATCCCCGCGATGCCCTTCTTATTTCTCCCCGCTTACCCAAAGAGACCACGCTGGCCACATTACCCCAAGGCGCCACCATTGGAACTTCGTCGGTGCGCCGCGCCGCCACATTACGAAAGTTGTACCCGCACTTGAAGTTTGCCGACTTGAGAGGAAATGTTGGTACCAGGCTAGGGAAGCTGGATGCCGAGGATTCGCCCTACCAGGCCATCATCTTAGCCGCTGCTGGCTTGAAGCGCATGGGCTTGGAGAACCGCATCACACAATACCTGAGCAGTACCAGTGGCGGTATGCTCCATGCTGTTGGCCAAGGCGCGTTGGGTATTGAAATCAGGAAAAATGATGAGGCCATGAAGGAGATTGTGAGCGGTGTTCGATGTGAACGGACGACAAGAGCATGCTCAGCCGAGCGCGCGCTCCTGCGAACGCTAGAGGGAGGCTGCAGCGTACCTATTGGTGTGGAGACTTCGTGGAGAGGCAGCAAGGGCTTAGCCGTCGGTACGCAGCCACTAAAAGACTACGACAAGCATGGAAACGCCATGGAGGAGGAGCAGCCAGATATTGACGATCAGGAGCTGGTATTGCGCGCTATGGTGGTGAGCGTTGATGGTAAAGAGTCGGTCGAATTCGAAGCAGCCCACAAAGTCCGAAATGCACAAGAAGCCGAAGAGATGGGGAGAGAGGTAGCCAGAGCGCTAATTGAGAAGGGAGCGGACAAGATTTTGGAGAAGATCAACGTAGAAAAGCAGTGGACAGCGAAGAAGCAACTCGAAGAGCTAAAGGCCAAATCTGCCACTTCCTAGAAGACTTTGAGGACGAAAATCCAATAACAAGATTCAACGTTACCCAAAACTTCAAGAGGTGACGATTTCTCATGATGGGAATTATGCAGGTATTCCATGTCCGATCTGTGAACGTGCCCGTCAACTCTTTACACGCACAGTCCCGTTCAATACAGTATATGTCACTGTCTCTGGACCTTAAATATGGCTGCGAACCCCGTATTTCCGGAGCAAAAACCAACATCATCAGCGCTCATACTACAGCTTACAGAGCCAAGCCTCAAAGTTCCCAGGTATACAGGTAAAGCAAATTACATACTCACCACAGCAGCCTCTCCTACAAGAATCCAAAGCCGGAGAACTACTCAAGCAGCAATAATGTGTCAAGAAGTCTGGACCCAGTATCGTGACTGCAACCACGAGCACGTGCCCATGACGCGGACAATTCGTTGTCAACGTATCGATGCCGATGTGGATCCTAGAACATGCGCCAGCTTTACCAGGAGAAGAAGGGAAATAAAGTATCCAGACATGTGCAATGCATGCAGAAATGCGGGAGCAACCGTGGACGAAGGCTACAAGTCGGGAAGATGGGGATAGGATGTGGAGATGATGTAGGACTATAGTTGATAAATAGTATGCAGATGTGAAGTAATGTGTTGTTTGAATATCTCATTTATGCATCTTTTTGAATTTACGTGTACAGATTGAACAAGACGGCGTGAGTGTCTGAGGGCTGCCAAGTGATGAAGTCACGTGATGTCGCGTCAGGGACGAGGATTCTGATGAGCCTCCACGCCATCATTACCGGGACCCCGCGGTGCACCCGGATTGCCGGATATTGGATGTGTTACAATTCCTGCTACCTCCCTACGTACATACAAAACATAGTTCATATCTCATCTTCTCACAAATCTCATGATTTCGTTCAAGTCAGATGACGCATGAAACGCGAGCGCGTCTGGTTACAGCTCATATTCGTTACTCCCCTAAACACGACACTTACCGTCCTGGCTGTGCACTTCTTGTCCCCCAAAACACACCGCGAAAAAGTATCGCATTTGCAATATCAGATCCACTGCTGTCATACACACACAGGACGCGTGCATCGCACTAAGGCTCGTCCCGCATCGCCTAAGTAGACTCCACATTTCCACACCATGGGCATCCCAGGGTATGTCCGAGAAATGACACCCCCAAGTCCCTAGGCTAACAAGCAAAGCCTGCGAAGCGTCATCGAGGCGTGTGAGGAAATCGTCCCACTCGCCCAACTCGCCCAAGACTGTTGGAACGAACACCAAAGGCCTTTTCGCATCGCTGTTGATGCAGCAGACTGGCATTTCCACAATATCAGTCCAGCGCAAGAGCGCTCCATCCGGTCGAGTAAGACATTGAATAATTGACGTGGCCTTGACCCTGACCTGTTTGCAGAGGAAAGCGCCGCGAATCCCATTGAAAAGGCAATCTTCTTCCGAGTCTGCAATCTCCTGACACTCAATATTCGCCCGGTTTTCGTCTTCGATGGCTCACACGCTCCCCTCAAGCGAAATGCAACCGAGGGGCGGAAAATAAGTCCGAAGGCACGGGTGCTCATAGAGAAAGCGCTTGACGGACTTGGTGTTTCGAGGATCGATGCCCCCGGAGAAGCCGAAGCAGACTGTTGCAGATTGCAGACCCTTGGATTGGTTGACGCAGTATGGTCGCAAGATTCCGACTGCTTGATGTTTGGCTGTACGTTTTGGATCCGCGAGCTTCGCACGGCTAGAGAAGCGGGAAACAGTAGTCGTCATGTGGGCGACACGCAGAAGGACCCCAAAAGAGTCAGAGTTGTCCGCGCCGAAAAGCTGAAGATTGGAGATTTCCAGCTTAAGCCCGATGGTTGTGTCTTGTTTGCCATGCTTGTCGGTGCTGACTATGACACACGGGGCCTCCCAGGTTGTGGAATTGCCAACGCCTTGAAACTCGTCAAAGCCAGTCTTGGCCGCAGCTTGTGCTCTAGGCAGAACCAGCAGGAGTGCGATGTCTGGAGCGAGCGAATATTGCCGAGATACTTGGCCACTCAGTCGATTACCCTTGTCGTCCCGAAGACCTTCCCACGGTTCGACACACTACAAAATTACGCGAATCCTCGCACGTTCGGAGATGCAGAGCTGCGTGAGAGGGCGGCGGGCAGTAGTGAATTTAATCACCCACCGCGCGAGGAAGAGCTTCTGGGAGTGGCATGTCGCTACTTCAACTTTTGGAGCAAGAAATACTACAACCACATTGGCCCTGTTCTCCTATCTCGCTATCTCGCAGAGCGAGACAGGTCGCTTCCGCGCGAGCTGGTGCACGACATTAAGCTCGTGAAAACGAAGTCAAAGGGTGCAGGAAGCGAGTCCGATCCCGCTATCTTGGAGCGAAAGCTTACCTTTTCACCTTTTGGCGTCTCTCGTCTCAACAAGGCGCACTTTGAACCCCTATACAGCACCAGGCCTTCGAAAACCGATACCAGTTTCGACCCCGAGCAACGCGTTACATGTGAGATACCAACTTTCTTGCTACAAAAAGTGCTGCCGTTGGATGTGCTTGAACCTCCGGCCGCTGGAGCCCAAAAGCAGACACCCAAACGAAAGCAGCGGGATGATGCCGAGCAAGGAGATGCTTCACATGCAAAGAAGCGAGGTCGCCCTCGAAAGAAAGATACCGCATTCTCCTCGGACGTCATTGATTCACCTGGAAGTAGAGCCTTGCCCTCAACACCCTACCGTCGGCCTCTTGCTACGCCAAACAGAGACTCATCGAGACCTTCTGCCACTCGTACCAGCACAGCGATTGAATTTCCAGACTCAGAGGATGAGCAGATCAAAGAAGCTAAACGGCGGAGTCTCCTGGATGTTTTTCACGAACAACGGCGTTCATTCCCTGGCATAGGAAATGGAGAGTCGTCTGCTTCTCCTAGGCCCTCAATGTCGACGCCATCTCGAGCTGGACCGAGCACTTTGGCATCACTTCCTCGTGAGGCGAACACAGCAGGTCCTGGCAACGGCAGCGTGGCGTCTCCATGGAACCTTGACCGCACTGACTTCATTGATCTAACAGAGGACTAAATGTCTCAACAAACCTCTGAGCAGGACGAGACGTGTTTGGAAATTGAGATAAAGCAATACTCTCATACGATTTTGAATACGAAAAGTCTTGCCTACAATGCGTTCCACGCACCCCACAATATATACCCTAAGCAATATTTACAGAAGAAATCTTGGATCGACGACACGACTCTAGCGTGTAACATGAGGCTGAATGTCTCCTTGATAACAGACACTCATACCGGCACATCCACACTCACGGTTTCTGGAACTCAAACGCCCACGCAGTCTTGAGATCCTGCCCAGTTTGCACGACGGAGAGCGTCAGCACACCACCAGAGTAGTTGATCTTCGCCGTGCCGCGATCCGTCGGCCCATTCGACACGCCCTGGGCCCCCACATCGACAAACGCGAGTGTCCTGACCGCGACCCGGCCGCTAGCGGGGAACCCCAGCGCCTGCATATTAGTGACTTGGATCTGCCAGGTCCCGGACTGAGCTCGTACGCCGCCGAGAATACGCACGGCACCTGCATCGGATAGAGTGGCGAAGACGTCAAAGGCGCCGTCGCTCGAGCCGTCGGTGCCCAGACGCACGCCCGTCATGTTCTGCGCGTAGTACCGGTACAGCTGCCAGTTGCCATTCGGCTGGTACGCAGACGCCGCATTGGGGCGATAGATGAGCTCGGCGAGGAAATCGTGCAGCTGGCTGCCGGACAGCCAGTTTGCGCGCAGCCCAGTCGTATTGTAGTGCTCGAGGCGCGCAATGTGCCATGCATTTGCGGCGTTCATGCGTTCGTCGCCAGAGTCTGCGTGGTTGCCTCGAGTCAGTTTGTCTTGTTTCCATGAAACCAATTCATTTTATATGCATTTTTTTTGCCCCTTTTGACTACGAATTTCACAGGAATGGGAACGGGGGAGATGAGTACGTACTGATATATTCGTTCACGCAGAACGGACGGCGCGGCGCCCCCGTGCTAGCGAAAAACTGGTCCATGGCCGGCGCGCTGAAGCGCATGTCGTTGCTCTGGCCCGTCGACCCGCTCAGCAGATGCCAGGTGTACTCGTCGGGAGCAACATTGTTGGCGACAATGTACTTCATGAACTGCACCCACCACGTGTTGCTCGGGTTGGGTCCGACGTTGAGCGAGGGCCCGACAATGGGCACGGATTTGACGGCGCTGTCCGCACTGCAAAGGAGTGATTAACCACTGCGACCAAAAACAAATTCCTCCAAGAGAAAAAGAGGAGAGAGAGAGAGAGAGAGAGAGCATGCTTACCGGAACTTCTGATACGTGCGCTTCCACAACTCGAGCCACTGATCCGCCGAGCGTTTCCAGAAGATGCTCAGATTGGGCTCATTCCAGGTATCGATTTTGAGTCCTGGAATCATGTTATTGGCCTTGATATCGGCAATGAGGCGATCGAGAAACGCTTCATAATTTGTCCAGTCGCCGCCGTCGCCCGGCCAGACGGTCGACGAGTTCGTAGTATCCGTGCCCCAGATATCGTGGGGCAGCAGCTGGAACTCGCCGCCGTACTTGCGAGCAGTGCGGTAGTTGCTGAGGGTCGACTGGAATCGGGCCGTGTACTCGTTGTAGTGCCAGCCGCGCTGACCGGCTCGAAATAGCTGCGCGCCGCCCGCCCGGAAGTAGTGCAGCTTGGGCTCCGTGTAGAACTTGTCGGGGATCTGGTTCGCCGTGTCGGGGATGCCGTACAAGATGCCACTGGCAAGCTGGTTGGGGGTGCCGCGGCGTGCAGAGAGGTCGACGACAGCCGTCTTTGACGACTGGCGCGTCTCGAGAGACGAGGCGACTGTCGCGGTAGCAAAGCAGACGAGGTTGGTGAACTTCATGGTTTCCTGATACTAGTCTACGTATCCGAAGCTTGCTCTTTTCAGATCCCCCTACACTTCTTGCTCCTTGCGAGCTTTATATCTTTCTTTCCCTCATACGGTGAGACAGGTAATTTCTTGTCCCGTACATTCAACCGTCCTGGCGGGCCTAGCGCAATGGCAATGTCGCTGCTTAGAGCATCAAAAAGTCATCTTGAAGCCCTGGGACCAATCTTCCACCACTGGGGGTGCGGGTCGTTAGTGCGATTGCATGCTGTACCCCGTCCACTGTAATTACTTGTTGTCTGGATGATGAATCGTGCGCCCTCGGCCGATGGGTCCCGGTGGGCGTCTCCGGTGGACCTTGTAAAGCTTATATGGCATCTGGCGGAAACACTAACTGCATGTGGAGAGTGGAGTTTTAGCTCACATGCTTGATGCATGTCTGTCAGATGCTGTAGTTTCATAATATACCGCTGGGGAGTCGAGCATGCGTCAACCTTGCCATGGCTGTTTGTGCATGTTCTCGAGCGGCTCACTCTGCAGCCGAAGCTGGCGTCATGCGACCTGACGCGATCTGTTCCAGCATCGCAAGGAGGGAAGACATTTTCTCTGATCTGCCCCAGGCAGTGGAGACTGCGGCTAGTATCTTGCGTCCTTCGCGTAGTATTCTTGCGGGTCCCTTTGTCGAGTATATATCGCCTACACCTGCCACGTTTGCCTTCATATTGGCAGCGGTGCCGAATCTGACGAAGAATTGCACCATTTCGTCATCATTGGGCCGGTCTAAATGTATAAACGTTGGCACCGGCCCGAAGTCACTGTCGGAAGGGGAGCGCGCATCGAGAGCATCCTGGGGATCATCTCCACTGTGCATCTCACTGCCAGCATCCTGAGTGTCACCTGCAGACCGGATACGATCTTGGCTCGAGGGACTCGTTCTCGAAGCATACGAACTATACGCCCATATGGTCAGCGTAGCCAGGAATATGGCTATGGGTTCGTAAAAGGCCCTGGTGCTGTAACGTCGCACATGCCAGAATAAGCATCCGCTGTGTAGTACGGCTAACCTCGCCTTACACTGATCTCTCTGCGCCCATTCAAGAATGTCGCGTTCGGCCTCGATGGCTTGTTGGCGGCTGGACGTATGACGTGCGCGAGAGGCTGGATCGACTGTGAAGGAAACTATTGATTCGGCCAGAGTCTGGAAGCGGTTGAACGGCGCTAGCAAAACTGTTCTTGAGAAATGTAGGTGGAACACAGCGGGATGCTCGGTCCCTGCTTGTCGAGCAATTGTTCCGTTTGCAGCCCAGTGTAGCACGTCAACGCAATCGAGCGCCGCATTACGCCAGCTGCTGAGCAACTCCTCGCTCCACGGGCCGGGGCCGGCCGACATGTTGGGAATGTCTTCATTGTCCCTCGCTGCTTGCTGAATGGACGGAATCCAATTGCCAAGCGGTCTTGCAAAGCAATCTTTGAGCTGGAAGATCTCTCGGAAAACCCCATGAAGCAGAATTACATGACTAAATTGACCTAGGTTCCCCACAATCTGCTTTTCGCGGAACAGTGAAATGGTTGCAGAGGCCAGGGATGGGGTTTCTAGAAAAAAGAATAAGCACTTGCTGAAATTATGGTTCAGTGGAATTACCCTGTATGGTTGCCGATTGTGCGGCCCAGTCGGACGCAGATCTTAGTTGCCAAATCTTGTCGTTTGGCAGGGGTACGGGAGCTAAATGAGATGGCATCGATGGCTGTTGTTGAAAGTGATATACTGCCATGCAATCCAAAAGCTGGTGGATGTTAGCGGTTGCTTCGAACCTTTAGTCACAATACCGCTTACCCAAACAGCGTAACCAATCCTGCGTTTACACTCTTCAGATATGATTTTGCTCCAGGCCGATGCATGCCGGTCGCCACCAAACTGCAAGAAAGTTGCAACGGGTCCGGAAGTAGGGTTTTGGAGAGCCAAGTTACGAGCCATGGAAACAAGCGCCCCATGCTGTGCTTTTGCGTGTTGCAGCAATTGCCGAGATCCAGAGTAAAGCATACCAACCTGACTGAGGGTCATGGCCTGGGCCAAAGCGATGCCACTACCCGTTTTTCCTATATCCTGGAGATTGCAGTTCATATATTCCACTGCGATGGCTCGTCGAAGAAACTCGTGCAGCGGCTCGACCATTTTCGAAAATTCATCTGCCTCCGCATATTGACAGCCAATTGCACACACTGCAAGAGCAAGAAGCCAGTGATTTGCTATCTGGACCACTTGGTCGTGCAAGATGGGAAGGATGGGGTCGAAATTGTCGAGGTAGAGTTGCACAAACATGTTCAGAGTAGATAAACCAGGGTATCGCGAGCTTGCGTAGGATGAGAAAATGGTGTCGTTTCCAAGGCAAAGTTTGCTGAAATGATGTTGCATTTCCGCGTAAGCTGTCTCCGTGAGCACTGTTGTAAATGAGCCAGCTTCATCTGACGAGTCCTGGTCATTGAGAAGAATATGGCTCGTATCAGGGAACTCCAGTGCTTCAGTGCTTGAGTGAGTTTGAGGTCTTAGCGAGCCGACAGGTTGGATTGGGGTGGCACCCGGAAGCAATCGATTGGCTCTTCGACCTCGGACAGTGCATGGCATCCTGGCCCCATTGAAGCTTGTGGCGTACAGACCACCAGGGGCAGCGCTGGGGGAGACGGTGTGCTTGGACGAGTGCGGAGATCCTGACGATACAGTATGGTCGACGGCATCGGGGACAAAAGCGCTCCAAGGCGTTCCGTGGTCGCCCGTGGAGGGTGCCTGCGTGTCACGGGGCGCCGATGTACGATTCTGGATGCTGTTGATACTCAGTGGTTCATTTTCAGCTGATGCTTCTGGGTTTGTCGTGTTGGTCGCAGCAACGTCTGTTGACGAATCTGGGAATGAGAAATAATCTAATGAGCCTATACCCCAACCCACGATGCTGTCATAGTCGATAGCAATCGAGTTATCGGGCGGCAGCCAGTTCATGGGAAAGTCCATGGTTTGCTGTGCCGATTGGTTCTCGTAATACTGGGCAGCCCCAAATGCAGGTGGCTGCTGGTAAGGCGTAAAGATGGAGGGTGCGCTGGGGGCATCTGAAGCTGGGAAAGATAACATGGAGCGATCTGAAGAAGCATCTTGGGCAGGCAGACCATGATTTAAAGCCAGAACCCGAGGCTCAGGGGCAAGAGAGCACTGGAACGTCGGGTCTTGGTCAGAGTTGGAGGCCGATTGCTGAGTTCGGACGCTCGCTCGGGGCTGCGGATATATGCAGCGAAAGCCCTTGGCCAAGCAGCGCTGACAAGGATCGGTCCTGGTGCATCGCTCCCTGGACCTTGCGCACTCTGTACAAGCGCGCGTGCTTACAGTGTGCAGTTGAATGCGCTGCATCGTGGCAGTGTGAGTTGCCTCATGTCGGTGTAGAGTGTCGCTGAAGCAGGATCAGCCACGGCAGCCCCAGGCCCGATGTGCGTGACAATGAAAGGCTCACCTTCGCGCAAACGGCTTAGAGCAATGCTTACAGGAATAAGGTTTGATATTATCATGGCCGCGCTCGTGGCGTCTCAAGTGTTCCACGCGTCGGCACACAAGTTAGCCATGTGTTGTTGGTGGTGGTTCACTCAGCAAACCGCTGACCTACTTACCTGAAAGTGCAATCACATCGAGCACAGCGCATCGATCCCGTCGTGGCAGCCGATCGGCGCGCGGCAGCATTGGACTGCATAGGCAAGAGACTGTTATCTCCGGCCACATGTAATATGTGATAACAAGCACGCGAATGGTGTGTAGAACGTGGAGCGGCACGGCTGGGAGGGGGTTTGCCTCTAAGTAGGTAAGCCTACAGCATACTTAGCCGAGGGCAAATCAACGCCAGCCAAGGGTATGCCGCGCCGCAGACATCAGTATCACACCAGACGGCTTACCTTTGCTTTGCTTTTGCCATGTGTTTTTGGTCTGCATGTAGCATTCAAGTGTCGATCTACCAAGACTACGCTGTGAGAGCTCCGCATGTCGGGCCGGTACGCAAAACAGTGGACCACTGCACTGTGCTCGCCATTTACAAACCCATGACCATGACTACAGAATAAACCCACACGACGAGTTTCAGTTTCCCAGCCTATCAAACCGCCTTCTCAGACTGGACATGCAATACCTCTGTGCCCTTTTCGTCCACCACCTCGCGATGCTCTACATATGACCGCGCCAGGGCCTCAGCCTTTTCAAGACCTTGTCCCTGCTCTCCGGCTTCAACAGCATCAACCTCACCGAACAACTTGTCCATGCGTTCCAGCGAGATGCCCTTGGTCTCGGGGAGGATAAAATACACGGAAACCTGAGCACAACGTCAGCATGTGTTACGGAGCACTAACCATTCAGCGGCCTACCAAAAGAACAGTGTTGAGACAGAACAGAAGCCAATGACTCTTTCCTCCAACCTCTTTGTTGAAGCGCGGCCACGGCTGCGTGAGCGCCAGCAAACACGTCGTCTGACCGAGAAGCGAGAATCCAAACGCCTTGTCCCGCACTTCTTGCGGGAAAATCTCCGACGCAATCGCAGGCGGAATGGGGCCGTTGGACCAGCAGTATGTCAGGCCTACGATGAACAGCATGGCGACTTCAACCACGGCAGCGGCCTTTTTGTTGTTCTCAGGGAATGCAGTGGTAAGGGATGAGAGAATGAGGAGTGCAGTAGCTTGGATCGCGAAGCCAGCTAGGAGAAGGGCTCTCCGCCCAAATTTGTCGACGGTAAATGTATTCACAAGTACGATGACAAGCTGAAGGGCAGCTTGGATTCCATTGATAGACAGAGCCTGGCTGCCTTGATCCCCTGCAACCAGTCAGTATGGCGTCTATAGCTAGGCAGGTTATCCTTACATCCTAGGCTTTTGTAGATGAGTGCCGCATACATGGTGAGAGACGCTATGCCACCAGCCTGCTGCAGCGCCGTAGCATAGAGGCCGTACAACAAACGCTTACGCATGCCCTTCGACTTGAAGATACCCTTGTAACCCGCGTCGTAGCGCGCGCGGGCCTGTTGAGCAGCAACAAGCTCATGGTACTCTGCGAGGACGTGCTCGGAATTCTCATCTCCTATTCTCAGTTTACACAGGACGCTGAGGACGCGCTCCGAGTTGTCTGGCTGCTTTTCCAGCAGCCATCTGGGCGACTCGGGATACCAGAAGCTGATGGCGAGAAAGGCGATGCCAATAGGTAGCTGGAGCAGATTGGACACGCGCCAGGCAATGTTGAATGGCGACTTGACATAGCTCATTCCGTAGCCGACCCAGAAGGCGATGAGCGTGCCGAGTTGGTAGCCAAACTGAGTGACGGTACCGACGAAACTGCCGCGGAGCAACCGAGGAGAGCACTCGGCTACATACAAGGACGTCGCAATGTATACGCAGCCGAAGCCCAGTCCAGTAATGAGACGCCCGAGGATCAGTACGCCATATGTGTTTGGGACACACTGCACAACGATGCCGATCATCATGACCATGATGGAGATGCGCAGTGCCCAGAGCCTGCCGACGAAGCTGGCCAGAGTACCACCGACAAACAGCTGTGCCAGACCGGTCGTCGCCCAGGGCACGGCGGCAATCGTGCCCTGGCTGTCAGCATCGACTCCGTAGTACGTGGTGAACTGGTCATCAGCCAGGATAACCGTCATGATACCTTTTTTGCATGGTCAGCGATGAAGTTGCGCCCCAGATCACCAGATGTATTACCCGCATCGTAGCCGTTGAAACAGGTTGCAAGCACCATGCCATACAGCAGCATAGCCGCATAACGATCATTTTTCGGCAAGAAGCTTTCCAACCATCCCATGACAGCGGTTTTCATCCAAGTCTGTGTAGAGGGGACTTAACGAAAAAAAAAGAACAATCAATGGTAGGAGAATGCTCGTTGTGACAAACCCAGGGCGAGCCAGGTCAACGACCATCGTTTTGCCAGGGCACCATGCGGAATTATTATAGTTACAACAAATTGATGGCGTTTTCCCCAGAAAAGGCGTGTGTGTGTGGAGTACACGTGGGATGATTTCTGGGGCGGGGAAATATTTCAAATGCGGAGAAAAAAAAATAAACCATCCCAGCGCCCCCATGGGCGAATTGGCGCTATGTAGAGACGGGGGGGGAGTCATCCAAGAAAAAAAACAGAAACCGCGTCGCTGGATGGATAAAGATGCGCGGGCCTGGGGGTCCCTCTCCCCCCGGTGGACATACATAGCCGATCCATGCATGTTCCGGTGGATAGGGGGGAGGGGGGGACGCTTTGCTCCGGTGGGTGAAAAGCACGACGGACTTCCCGTGTGGGCTTATGACGACTCAGGGCAGCAGCCATTCTGGATAATTTCCTTGATTATTATTACTAGCAGGCCTGTCGAAGCTGCACATCAAGCGATCGCCCCGCCTCTTCTGATCTGTAAGATTTGGCGCGACCATGGCGCATCCACAGGAGACGTTTCGCCATACAACGTTTACGGGGACGTCGATTCTGGCAGCGCGGCGCCATACGGTTGCCAGCACGACGCTCAAGACGCAGCTGGCGCAGTTCAAGAGTACAGGGCGCTATGATTGCTTTGAGCTGAAATGGCATCCCGTGTATGACGACCACTCCATGTGGCCGGTCCCCAAACACCTTTTCTGGGACAGCGACCTCGCAAAGTGGATTGAGGCCGCGTGCTATCTGCTCGAAAGCCACTATGACGAGGACATCGACGACGCGGTGCAATACATGGTGCGCAGTATGCGCGCCGCACAGCACGACGACGGCTACCTCAACTTGCACTACACGGTCGTGGACCCCAAGGGCCGGTGGTCCAACATCCGCGACATGCACGAGCTGTACAACTGCGGGCACCTAATTGAAGCCGCGCTCGCACACCGAGCCTATTACAAGAACGACGACCTGCTCGGCCCAATCCTGAAATACGTCAGTCTCATCGCAAGAACATTTGGCCCGGAACCAGGGAAACTGCACGGGTACCCTGGACATCCCGAGATCGAAATGGCACTGCTGAGGCTCTACACGCAGACAGGCAACCAGGACGCATACAAACTCGCCCGGTACTTTGTGCAAGAGCGCGGAAACCCCACGGGCCAGGAGGGCCGCCATTTCTTCGAGTGGGAGGCGGAACAGCGGGGTGAAAGTCCTTGGATGCGGCCGAATCATTATCCAGAAGCAAATGCTCACTGGTATAACCAGACGCACGCCCCGATCCTGGAGCAGCAGACCATCGAGGGCCATGCTGTGCGCGCACTGTATCTTCTCACCGCCGTTGCTGATCTGCTCTGCGTGGAGAAACGAGGGCTGGGTGCTATGTCGCAGTCGGGTGAATGGCTGGCGACGCTGCACCGTCTGTGGGCCAACATGGTGGACCGGAAGATGTATGTGACGGGGGGCGTGGGCGCCATCAAGCAATGGGAAGGGTTTGGAATCGATTATTTCCTGCCGCAGTCGACGGACGAAGGCGGATGCTACTCGGAAACGTGTGCGTCCATCGCCGTCATATTTCTTGCAGAGCGGCTGCTCGCGCTGGACCTCGACGCCCGCTACGCAGACACCATGGAGCGCTGTCTGTACAACAACGTCATGACGGCCATGAGTCTCGACGGCAAATCCTTTACCTATGTCAACCAGCTGGCGAGCTCTGAAGCTGACAAGAGCGGCCGCGAAGACTGGTTCTGGTGCGCGTGCTGCCCCCCGAACTACAGTCGCCTGTTTGGTAGCCTGGGAGGCTATCTGTGGCATTATGGCACAGAGAGCAACGACAATAGCCACGTCTTCATCAATGTGCACTTATATACGTCAGCCAAAGTCGCGTTCCAGACTCCCCAGGTGACAACAGTCGAACTTCAGCAGCAGTCGGACTGGCCGTGGAATGGTTCCGTGGCATTCACCCTGCAGGCACCGCAAGACACGCAACTCACCATCCGCCTCCGCATTCCAGCGTGGGCAGAGGGCGGGTTCACGCTCGAACCGGCACTGCCACTTGCGTCGAACAAGAGCACAAGTCCGCTGGAAAAGGGATACCTGACGCTCTCGCCAGAGTACCTCACTGCAAACCGGACCTTCACGCTTGTGATCCCGGGCTTTACACCCCGCTGGCTCGAACCGCATCCGTATACAAACCAGAACACGGTGTTCCTTGCTCGTGGCCCGCTGGTTTACTGTGCGGAAGACGCGCAGAACCCCGGGGAAACAAGCCACTTTCGTGATGTGGTTATCAAGCCGGGTCACGCGGTTGTAACGGAGGAACACAGAGTCCACGAAGCGTCGGGAGAGGCGTACATTGCTCTTCGCACAAAGGCGTGGACACGGTCGCTCGGTGCTTGGGAAACAGGGGAACCGGTGCGTGGGGCGCGAGGGGAACAGGAGCTGGTTGACGAACGCGACATGGTATTTGTACCGTATTATCTGCGAGCGAATAGCGGCGGCAATGGACACATGCGTGTGGGAATGATCAAAAGCTGAAGATTTCTCTTTCTCAAAGTATAAAAAGGTTCGAAATTTGTGTCCGCTGCCGGAATATGCGCCTATGGTACAAACTACAAAGGACCGTGGGTATCTTAGTGAATGAATGAATGAACGTGCTTCAAACCTTTGTACAATCTATCATGATGGGATATAGCTCATTGCTGTGGTTTGTACACCATGCCGCCACTGCTCGTGTAAACTTCCGTACTTGCTGGGCCGGCCCATCGCCTATTAGCTTCTTCTCTGCCCTTGACTTCCCTCTCGTTTTGCACAGCCACACAGCAGCAGCAACAACATCCCTTGAGTACGTCGTCGCCACAGCTGCCCGTGATCTTGTATGCACGTCGGATGCGGGCCCGATGAAGCGTGGGGAAGAGCCACCACAGTCCGCAAGACAAGCTCATGACCATGCAGTGGTTGTTTGTAGAGCTGTGGCCGAGCATGTCTGTGGGGTCATTCTTTGCTGATTTCTGCGAGAGGCGGTACGCAGTGCGACCGTAGAGAATGCACGGGCAGAAGAGGCCTGTGAGGCATGTCGAGGGCTCAGGACTGCATGAGCAAAGGCCGTTTTGCCACTCATGTGAGGTCTGAGACTCCATGTTTGGATGCGAGATTTGGCCTGGTTGGTGTGTGGCAAAGTCCAGGCCGTTGGGCCAGTGGGCGGCGTCTGGAGAGAAGATGGCATGGAAGTTATTAGTTTGGCTTGTCGCGAAGCCATGCGGCGAATATGGTTCGTGCGCATATGATGTTTGACTGGTAGCAGAAGTTGGATTGTCTCGTGGGCGATCCTTGTGCATCGAGTTGGGTGATATGGGAGTGATGGGTGCCTTTTGCGGTAGCGGCGACGTCTGGTGGGTGCCTGATGGTGGAGTGGGCGGAATGGTGGGCATTGTATGTGTTCTTACGTTGGTATTGATGGGCGACAGGTTGCTCCTTTGCCGAGCATGTCGGCTTTGCTGTGTATTCACCTGGGGAATTTGTTGAACAGGCTGCGGGTGTGGTATCGGCGACACAGGAGAGTGGGGTTGATATTGCGCATGCGAAGAATGCTGAGGAGAGACGGGTGAGACGGGAGGTTGAGCCTCCTGTGTGTAAGAAGGCTGTGCGTAAGCTGTATGGGATTGGGGCGGCATGACCGGCAGCTGTGCATCGAGTATAGATTGGGGGCGCGGGTCGATTGGTGTGTACCCCACTGGTGACGTCGGGAGCGAGATGGGCATGGAGTGCGGCATTGGAGGGTCGTTTGGCGATGATGTGTAGACAAAGGCACGCATCTCGGCTGGCGTCTGGGCATATGAGAAGTGTCGTGAAGCATCCCTGTCGACATGTTGCTGGGGGTGCTGAGGCTGCTGAGGCTGCTGAGGCTGCTGTTGCTGAGGTTGATGCTGATGGTAGTTCTGCTGCTGATGCGGCGGAGCCTGCTCGTGCCTCTCTTCATAGGCTGGCGTCTCGTCGTCCAAGGGCTGCTGCCACGAAAAGCGCTCGTGGTGTCGCGCAGCTGTTTGCGGCTGAGCGTGCTGGCTCTGGCCGTACTGCGTGGGATCCATGGGTACCGACTTGTAGGAGTGGACTTGGTTCAGAGGCGCGGTTCCGGGTAGACGAATCGGGTATTCCGCCAGGGCGTGTATCAAGGTGCCATGGACTCTGGGAGCTGTCTGTCGGCGGAGCGTCTTGTGGCACAGTCGGTTATAAGCTGTTGAACGATGGCTCGGGCATGGACAACAGTCAGTCCCGGGGGGCCAGGAGGTCTCATATCAGGTCCGGGGCGTGTACAGCGAGGCCATGGCGGCACCAGTGCAAGCCGCAGAGAAAGGCCGCCGTGCCTTGGAGCCGCCTGGCGCTCCGGTTGGCTGGCGGGGGGGCGTCGTGTCGTAGGCGAGAGGCATGGGGGGACGCAGATTCGCAGAGCTCCCGCCGTAACAAGGCGCTCTTTTTAGACGTGCAGGCGAGGCGCAGGCGTGGCCAATTGCCCAGCGACTTGGAGTGTGACGGCGTGGTGGAGCGACCTGGCCGGCGCTTGCGGGTGCTTCGGCTCCACTGGCGCCAGCCAATCAGCGGCCCGCCTCTTCCATCTGTCGCCTCATCGCACCGAGATGGCAGCGCCCTCCTGCAATCCACCACCTTTGCGGGCGCATGTTGCGACTAACCAACCCTGCCGGCATAGCCTCAGTGGCGCGGGCGTCGTGGATATAATCCCTCGTCGTCCATGCATACACCCACGACCCGAGGCCTGGATCCACTGCTGCTGGCGACCCGCAACACGTGCACAATCACTCGTCGCTCGAGTCATGGCCCAAAGCATATCGCGACGCCTGGCACGGGCAGTAGTATGTGGCAGTCGACTCATTAGCTGATTTGATTTTACTCATTATACAAGGGCGGCGACCTGGACCGTCGCCGCCATATCTTTCTAGCCTCCGAGACGCGGCGAATCTCAAGACACCCAGTCTATGCGTCCTTGTCCATCTTGGTCTTGCCGCGCTCCTCCTTGTTCTCCGCGCCAGGGCGCTCAGTCGACACGGTTCCTTGCAGCTTAGCCGTTTCGGCCACGCCCTCTCCCTTCTTGCTCTTTTCGGGCTGCTTGTCGATCTGCGAAGAGTGCTCCGTGTTGTCGTTGGACAGGCCCTTTTGCTTGCCAGACATCTCGTTGGTGCTCTTGGTCTCCTCTTTGCGGGGATCGGGCTGTGCGGGTTAGCTAAGCTGGTTGGCAAATGGCCCACATTCACTGACCTTGTCAGACTCGTCGGGAGACTGAGTGTCCTTCTCCTCGCTGTTCTCCTTGGTGGCCTTGTTAGGGTCCTGCTGCTCGCTTGTTGGCTCTTTCTTGGTCTCCTCCTTGGGCTCTTCCTCTGCCTCTTCCTTGGCAGACTCAGTAGAAGTCTTGTGGGCACTTCCTTCGCCGTGTGGGTCACCCAGAGGGTGGTGTTCTTCGCCGTGGTTGGTGTCCTGGTTCAGGACAACGTAGAGACCAACAGCCGTGCCAATTACAGCCGCACCCATCCTGCAGCACAAAGTCAGCATATTCCAGATGGAGGTACAGGCCTCGGATAGGTAGTCGGATGTCAATGGAACGGTAACTATTGGTCCACACATGCAAAAACCCAACCGCACTGCAGACGCAAACTACCACACACCCTCCCGTATGCCATCAAAACCACAGGCTCAACGTACCATGGGACATCGCTGCTCTGGGTTGCACCGTGCGAGCCGTGTTCGCTGGCGTATGTTCTGCGCTGAACAGCTCGTTGCCATGGCTGGAGCTCGGCAGCACGGATAAACCTCGTCGGGCGCGCGGCTCGTGCGAATGACGAGGCGCGCAGGGCAGAAGACCTTATAAAAGACATGATGAAGCTGCGGAAAGATCAATTGAAGCTCGCGACGGGCAATTGATGAGAGGCTCCTCGGTATGATGCGCGAATGGAGAAGATCAGGTCATGCCAGTGGGAATAATCGGTACGTCACCGGAGCCCGCCTAGCCCCGGACGGCCCTAGCCCGGTCACGTGAGCATGTATCGGGACGGCCCCGGATTCCTGGCTGTCATCCACCCCGTGTCTGTGGATGCCGTGCTGAAGGACATGGGGCTTGGGCTAGTTCTCAAGCATATCATCCCAGGACACTGCGCCATGTTCCGGCTGCCCAGGATGCCGCAGTCTGCTTGTTTCGCGGTGCGCGCTCTGCGTCGACGTACACACATAACTTCGTACAGTGGGCGTGTGCACGGTTCGCGCTCTCCAGAGCTACGCGCAGGCAACCACTGACGATTGCCCTGAATAGAAGCTTCGTTCACTCTCAACCGCCCAGCAGTGGCTCCACCCTATGCAGCCCACACTTCTCCAGCTACAAATTGCCAACCCTGCCCTCCATCTGCCCACAACGCCCCAGCCACAAGTGCACCACAACGACAACCCCGCCAGAGCTGCCCCGCCAGGTGCCCGCGCCCCCGACCTCGTGCACTGCGCCAGTGACAGCGGCACACTCGTACACACCACACACACATCATGGCGCCCTCGTCGGTCCCGCCCAATCCGACCGCCCAAAATGTCGCCCAGCTGCTGCCCCGGTTCGTCGATGACGATCCCGACTTCCGCTTCATGGCCCTGAGCGACCTGCACGACATTCTCGTTGTAGCTCATCCTGGCCTCCTGCTCCACGATGATGTCGTTGCCGCAAGGACCGTGGATGGTCTGCTCACGACACTGGTCGACACCAACGGCGAGGTCCAAAACCAGGCCGTCAAGTGCCTGGGGCCCTTTGTCAACAAGATCAGCGAGAAGACGCTGCCCGTTATGATTGAAAAGCTGTCGACACTCCCTACAGGCAATACCGTAGACCAGTCGATACCCGCCCTCGCCCTCCGCGAAGTCGTCGTTTCCCTCCCGCGTCCCGTCCACGGTGCTGCACGCGGCAAAGCCGTCTTGAACGCATACAGCGCCATTAGCAGGGTGCTGATTCCTCGCCTGATCGGATACAACGTCATACCACCCGCACAACCAGGCCTCACGCAGCCACCCAAGGGCATGCTGCAGGAAGACTTGGACAAGGGCACAGACAGCAACGCCATTGATGTGCTGACTGAAGTCGCTCGGTGCTTTGGCTCTATGTTGCAGGATGTCGAGATCCAGGCCTTGCAACAGATGACATTTGCTATTCTCGAAAACGACCGCGCAAGCTCGATGATGAAGAAGAAGTCTGTGACTGCCATCTCCACTCTGGCTGGCTACTTTTCCGACTCGTTGCTGAGCAGCTTTCTGTCCAAGGTGATTGAGCTTCTACGCGACCCGCACCTTACTCGCAGCAAGCGAAAGCTGTACATTACTATACTAGGCTCTATGGCGCGTTCCATCCCGCGCAAGTTTGGGCCATACCTAAAGACTCTGGCGCCATTTGTTCTGAGCGCACTGAGCACCGAGGAACAGGCTGAACAAATGGATGTGTCAGACGACGAGGGCGAGCGTGATCCGGAGATTGACGAGGTTCTGGAGGCTGCTCTCATCGCGCTCGACGGGTTTCTCGCCTCCTGCTCAAACGACATGCGCGCATATACCGATGAGACCATCGAAGCCGCAACGCGCTATCTCAAGTACGACCCCAACCTTGCGCAAGACGATGACGAAGACGACGACGCTATGCCAAGCGACGAGGAAGATGCATTGGAAGGCGATGATTTCGAAGAAGAGACTGGCTATGATGATGATGACGATGCTAGCTGGAAAGTGCGCAGGTGTGCGGCCAAGGTTCTGTACACACTCATCTCGACACGAAGCAACGGCGATCTTCTCGAAGACGGAACCCTCTACAGCCGCGTCGCACCAGCACTCATTGCACGCTTCAAGGAGCGGGAAGACAACGTACGCTTAGAGGTTCTGTCGACACTATCCAACCTAGTGAGGAAATCTGGCGACGGACCCTCACCGGTCAAGTTCGCAGACGAGACAACTCAGGGTGGAATGATGCCGCCACCAAGCAAGAAGCGTCGCCGCGGTGGTAGCGATGCGAGCATGTTCGATCTCCATGCGAGCTCGTCCCTATCCATGGGCTATGCTTCGCCTGCACCAGCCGACACACCTCCAGTAGGCCCTCGTGCTAGCTTGGCGAAGCTCAGTCCAGACATTGTCAAAGGTGTTGCGCAGTTGCTCAAGCAAACATCGTGTCCGCCCACTACTAAGCAGGCATCGATATCGTTGATCAAGGATATTGTCATTACGCAGCGCGGTGGTCTTGACGGCTACCTCAGCCAGCTCATCACACCAGTCGTAGAAGCTGCCAAGACTACTGGAGGCTCATCAAGCAGCGCTTCTGCCACGGCGAACAGCTTACGAACTCAAGCACTGCAGCTGATAGGTGCTGTGGCTGGCACACACTCATCCAAATCGATCCAGCCGTATCTGGCGCCTATAGTTGATGTGCTTCTTCGCGGGGTCAAAGAGAAATACAGCAAGCTATCGATTGAGGCGCTCGCAGCGACCGAACAAGTCATCAAGGCCCTTACACCTCCTCGATCCGCCGCTTCCGGGACAGAAAACCAGCAATACCTGGAACAACTGTATGACTCGCTGGTCAACAGGATATCTGCAAACGACGCAGATGTTGAAGTACGCCGCAGTGCTATTCATGTTCTGGGCCTGCTGCTGGGTCGAAGCTCTGGAGCCCAAGGCTTGATTGCAACAGAGAAGCGAACAGCAGGGCTTGAACTCCTGGCTGAGCGCCTTAAGAATGAGCTTACTCGCCTTGCCTCTGTTCGCGCAATCGACTCGATTGCTGCCCATACCAAGGCCAAGGACGAGCTGTCAGCCAAGTGGGTACAGACTGTCGCGCTGGAGCTCGGTGCGCAATTGCGAAAAGCAAGCCGTGCTTTGCGCGGTGCCAGTTTGAGCGCTCTTCGTACTCTTGCACTGAACCCGCAATCACGGAGTCAACTGGACAATCAGACTAGGGTACAACTGGTCGAGATGCTGTTGCCACTGCTCAACGCCAATGACCTCCACCTTCTAGGTCCTGCCCTCATCATCCTCGCCACTTTTGTCAAGGATGATGCGCAGGTGATCATGACACCCAACCTTAATACGGCTCTGTGCCAGGTTGCCCAAGGCTCTATTAGCGGAATGCCGCTTGATGCACTGCTCAAGCTTGTCCGCACCATTGGCGAGCAGCGCGTAGGACAAGAACTGATGCAAGCTTTGCTGCAGCAAGTTGGTGTTTCTGGACATGCCGAGGTCGTCGGAAAAGTCATTGGCAACCTCCTTGTTTATGGCGGTGACAGTGTGGGTGTCAAGCTTGAGCAGTTCATCACTGAGCTCGAGACTGCACAAGATGATAAACGCCAGTGTCTTGCTCTCGTCGTGCTCGGAGAATCTGCACTGCGATTGGGCTCCCAGTCAAGCATTGACCCCAAGCTGTTCATCAAGTACTTCTCTGCTAAATCAGAAAACGTACCGCTGGCAGCTGCTGTAGCCCTTGGAAGAGCTGGCGCTGGAAGTGTCAGCAAGTATCTCCCCGTCATTCTGTCAAACATGGGCCAGCCTTCAGCTCCACAGTACTTGTTCTTGCACTCCATCAAGGAAATTCTTCAGCAAGATGATGCAGAATCTGAGATTATCCCCTACGCCTCCACTCTATGGGACAATCTCGTCGTTGCTTCTCAGCTCGAAGACAACAAGGCGATTGGCGCCGAATGCATTGGCAGACTTACCATTATTGACCCCAAGACGTACCTTTCTCAGCTTCAGGTAGGACTTTCCACTTCTCATGTGTTCGCAGCTAATCATTTTCTAGGCGTTCTTGAACGACCGCAAGGCAAGTGTACGTGCTATGGTCATCTCTGCCCTGCGCTACACCTTTACCGATACCGATGAAGCCTATGACGAGTACCTCAAGCCCATCGTTGTGCCCATGCTGGTGCAGATGCTCAATGAGCCGGACCTGGAAAACCGCCGCCTGGCCCTCATGAGCTTCAACTCGGCGATGCACAACAAGCCGGACATCATTCTGCCTGCACTGGATCAGCTGCTACCTCTGGCCATGCGAGAGACTGTCGTCAAGCCGGAGCTCATTCGTGAGGTCCAGATGGGCCCATTCAAGCACAAAGTGGATGATGGTCTCGAAATCCGCAAGAGCGCATACGAGACATTGTACGCCCTTCTTGAAAAGGCCTTTGCCCGGCTGTCGCCTATTGAGGTCTCTGACTTCTTCGATCGCATAGTTGCTGGTGTCACTGATGAGCACGACATCCGCATCTTGTGTAACCTTATGCTCACAAAGCTGTTGATCATTGCCCCTGACCAAATACATTCACGCCTGGAGACACTGGCCGAGAACTTCCGCACGGTTCTCGCCGTCAAGCCAAAGGAGAATGCTGTCAAGCAAGAGATTGAAAAGATTCACGAGGGTGCTAAGGGTGTGCTCAAAGTTTCAGTTCAGATCAACAAGCAAATGGGCACTGAGGCTGGTATCGGACAGGATGACCCACATTCACGTGTATGGGCACAATACTGGGAGCAGGTTTCAAAGGAACACCAGAATGGATTGAAGGCAGTGGCAGAAGAGCTTAAGGAGCGCGACCGCTAGGTGCCGTCGCCATCTTGTGAGACGATTGAATGTGCAACTCGGCCTGCACCAGTGCACGAGGACTGCTAAACTTGTAGCTTGCCCGAACTGAATGACATCTAATACTAGGGCGCCCGTCACTTCAAGATACGCTCTTCAACATAATGGCTATCAAAAAGCATTTGGGTGTATTGTCATGGTGGATGTGAGAAGCGGTGCATATGTCGATTAACGATGAGAATATGATAAAAGCACCGGATAGGTGCATAGACGCACCGTAATGCAACGAGGCATGATAACATTGAAGTCTAGTTCATCTATGGCAACGAAACAGCCATGATGAACAGAATGCATCGTGATTCGCGATATCATGTCACACACATACGAATGTTGGTTTTAAAAAAGCAAAAAAGGATATATAATTATAACAAGGTAATATCAGAGAACGCCATTAATAGACAGGATACTAATATCCGCCATAACGTGTAATCTCAGCAAGAGCAATATCAAAGCACATTTCAGCTTGCTTTTTCCATTTCCTTTTTCCTCCTCTTCTCATCTTCATCTCGCACACAACCAACCCATCAATCCGATTATCTCACCAACTAACCAACCCACCATCTCCACCACTCCAACTAACCAAAAATGAAACAACAGCCACGAAATCAGCAGTCCCCTCGTCAAACCACATAATCCACCGTCCGCGTCACCAGTTTCCGCGACGCACTCGCACTCCACGTCGGACGCCTCACTGCCGCCGTAACATTCGCCTTTGCCTTTTCCCTCACACTCGCACTCGCACCCACACCCACAGCCATACGCGTGCTATTCGCAACCACCGGCGCCGCCGGCGCCAAACCCGCACGCGTCAGGAACGTCGTTGGCGCAAGCACAGCAGCGGGGGTAGTCACGGGGCGCAAATTCAGCGTCGTAACACTGAAATTAGCATTCGTAAGCGTGATATTCGCTTTCGAATTCACATATGCGCTTATGATTTCGGCGAGACGGACAGGCGTGTGTGCGACTTTCGGGTATGGGAAGGGCCGCCGCGTGGTGCTGGCGTTCCAGCTGCCGCGCTGCGAGGACGGCGACATGGGTGTGGGCAGGAGCGATTTGTCGGTTATGCTGGGCAGGAAGGGTGTTTCGGGAAGGAGGGGGGTTTTTGGGATTGTTGGGGTTGTTGTGTTGACGTCTGGAGCGGGGGCTAGGGGGAGCGTGTTGGTGGTGGTGGTGGTGTTGAGGGGTGGGCTGAGTGGAAGCGTGAGGTTGAGTGGAGAGGTGAAATTAAGTGGAGAAGTAAAGTTGAGTGGTGAAGTAAGGTTAAGTGGTGGATTGGGGATGAGCAGGGGTTCCAGCGGGATGGGATTCAGTGTCAGAGGGCTGGGGCTGGGGGTTTCGAGGATGTTGGTTAGAGGGGTGCCGGGAAAGAGGGGCAAGGGGTCGTTGAGTGGGAGAGAGATCTCCGGTTGCGGGGTTGAAGGGCCCGCAGGGATAGTGATGGTGGTGAGGGTCGTGGTCGTGGTGTCGGCAGAGATAGCAGGGAGGGGGGCAGAGGAGACTCCAGCGAGAGCAGTTGTAGAAGCCGCAAGAACGGTGACGGTAGTGGTGGTGTCTAGGTCTGTAGTGGGTCCCAAAGTGAAGTTAGCTGGAGGATTCGGGATTGCCTCGGTTTGGATGGATGTAGGTGCGGCAAGAACAGTCACAGTGGTGGTATCTTCTGTGGAAATGTTGGCAGCAGGGGTAGAGAGGACCTCACTCTGGATGGCCGTAGGCGCTGCAACAACAGTCACAGTAGTGGTATCCTCTGTGGACACATTGGCTGCAGGGGTAGATACGACCTCAGTTTGGATAGATGTTGGTGCAGCAACAATAGTAACAGTCGTGGTGCTGTCGTCTGTGGAAACACTGACTGAAAGAGTAGACAAGACCTCGGTTTGGATAGATGTAGGCGCTGCCACAAGAGTTACAGTAGTAGTGGTATCTGTAGACACATCGGCTACAGAGGTAGAGAGGACTTCAGTCTGGATAGACGTAGGTGCAGCGACAACAGTAACAGTTTCCGTAGTGTCCGTGGAAACATCAGCTACAGAGGTCGCAAAGATCTCAGTCTGTACGGAATTAGGCGCTGCAACAACAGTCACAGTAGCAGTGTTGTCTGTGGAGACGTTGGCAACAGGGGTAGACAAGACCTCAATTTTGGTTGTGGGGGCCTCAAGAATGGTAACGGTAGCGGTAGTATCCACATCTGTGGCAGTTTTGGTGATGTTGACACGGGGCTTGGGAACCTCTGTTTGGAAAGTGATGGGAATGGGTGTAATGATGGAGGGTTCCCGGTTTGCAGTAGTTGCCAAGGAGATTTTGGGGATGATAGGAAAGAAGGCCTGGGTTCGGAAGACGGCAGCAGTGGGAGTTGCAGTAATGTCGGTGGTGGTGTTCACCTCGGCTGTGGGCTCTATGCTGGTAGCGGTTTCCGTGGAGGCGCTGGTCAGAGGGGTAGATAGATATAGGGGGACGGGAGGCGGGATGTAGAATGGTTTGGTGAAAGATATTGCCGGGAGTGTGGAGAAGGATGGCGCCGAGAGTTCGACTGACGAGAATGACACCGAGTCGACTGAAGTGGACGTCTCGGGTACTACTGAGGGCGGCGCGGGGACCACCAAGGATGGCGCGGGGAGTACCAACGACGGCGCAGAGACAGATAAGTAGGATATTACAGTGTCGACTGAGGCGGTAGACGTCGCAGAGGCCACTGAGGGCGGCGCGGGGATCACTAAGGATGGCGGTGGGACTAATAAGGAAAACGGCGCAGAGTCGACTGAGAATGGCGCAGAGGCAACCGAGGAGGATGGTACAGAGTCAACTGAGGAAGTCATCTCGGGGGCCACTGGGGGCGCGGGGACTACCAAGGATGGCGCTGAGACCACTGAGGAAGACGGCGCCGAGTCGATTGAGGAGGCTAGCACAGAGATGACTGAGGATAGTGCAGAGACGACTGAGGATGGCGTAGAGTCAAGGGAGGATGGCGCCAGGTCAACGGAGGGAGATGGCACCGGGTCGACTAATGAGGATAGCGCAGAGACGACTGATGATAGTGCAGAGACCACTGCGGATGGTGTAGAGACGACTGTGGATGGTGTAGGATCAACTGAGGAGAACGGAGCAGAGTCGACTGAGGAAGATACCGCGGGAAGCACCAAAGGAGACGGCACCAAGTCGACTGAGGAGGTTGGTGCAGAGTCGACTGAAGAAGAAGACGTGGAGATGGCTAAGAAGGAAGATAGAGGAGGGGCCACTGAAGGAGACGGCGCCAGTTCGACTGAGGAAAAGGATGTAGAGTCGACTGAGGGGGATGGTGCAGGGCTAACTAAGGAAGAAGACGGTGCGGAGATGTCTGAGAAGGAAGACACCGCAGAGTCGATTGAGGAAGACGTCAAAGAGACGACTGAGGACGGCACAGATCCAACCGATGAAGACGTCGTAGAGTCAACCGAAGAAGACAATGTAGATTCGACCGAGGAAGATGTCGTAGGTTCGACGGAAGAAACCAACACAGAAACGACCGAGGAGACAGGCAGCTCAGCCGAAGACGTAGCCGACGGAATCACTGAACTCTCAGGCTTAGCATCAGCCACATAGCAGGCAGTGTACTTGAGGTCAGTCCGGCGAATACTACGCGCAAGTCAGCAAACTACAATTTTCCAAAAACCCGTCTTCATCACGACATACCCATACGAATCCGTGTTGGAGACACCAACATCATTCGGACCGCGGTTCTGACCAACGTTGGTAGCGTATCTGTGTTATAATCAGTTTCGAGTCGGATTGACTGGAGATTTTGTGTAGGTTACTTACGTAGCAGGCCAATACTCAGAAAACATGGCGCAGTGCTGAGCAACCGGCACGCCATCCTGCCGCTGCATGTACGTATTGACAAAGTTGCAGGTGCGGTCTTTGAGATCATGGTCGTCGGCCGCCTTGCACGCCTCAATGCATCTCTGAGCATCGAATTTGCCGTCGTCCCACGCCGACATGCCCATGTACGTGTCGTTACCGTTGCAGTCTAGCGGGGCCTCAATTGCAGCGCCGTTTTCGTACTCTTCAGACGTCCACTCGTCCTCCAGGGCGCGTAGACTGTTTGAGTCGTTGGCGGCGGTAACGTCTTTGACGTAGGCGTTGGAGCCCGCCATGACGGCGCGGAACTCGCCCTGCAGCTGGCCGTCGGTAATGCTGGTTTGGGGGGTAATCGTGCCATCCCACATGGTGCACTTGATGAGCGTCGTAGAGGCCGGATTCAGGCACCCGGCGCCGGGCTCAAGAAGGGGGGCGCGCTCGAAGAAGATGGCGAAGGCGTTGCATTTTTCTTCTTTGCGGCATATTGCGGCGCCTAGATGGATTTAGTTGAATAATCAAGATGAGGTTAGATGCTTAAAGGGGGATTTCTGGATTGGCTTGCGTAGCTATGAGTATGCTCGTGAATAGACTTTGGAAAAAGAGGAATATTAGTCATACTTACATTCCTCAACGTTGTACGAATCCAAAGCCACGTAGTGCACGAACTGAGACGGCTCGTTGTAAGTAGTGTGCAGGTTAGAATATGCCTGTAGGAAGCCACGCGGTGTAGCCGCCGACGTGGCTGCTATGGCGAAAGGCTCAAAAGCTAGAAAAGCCTCTGCCGTATCAGGTCTTGGAACGGGGCCGCTTCCAACAGAAAGGGGCATACAAGCTCTCGGCTCGAGTTTGTGGATGGGAGGAGGAGCTGCAAAGGCAGTCGAGGCTGCAGCGCCAATGGCGAAGAGGTGAAAGAGGGTAGACATGGCTGTCAGTCAGGTCCTTGCCTGTAACACCGTGCAAGTGTCGTAGGGAAGTCCACCCGTGGAGGAAGTGCGGAGGTAGATATAAAGGGCGATGGTCAGTGGCGAACTGGAGAGAGAGTATGAGTTGGGTAATGGTAGTGACTGTCTTTGACGTCTCGAGTCCCTGCGTGATAGTGCTGTACCGTATCCAGTTATTATGACCTGGATTATGAATTATCTTCACATGCCGTAAATTCAAGATGGAAATTCTGTAGGACTAATTCTAGTCTGCACTAATTGAAGTCTGATAGCATTCTGATGATAAGTTGGAGAGTTTGATTGATCCGTGAAGACGTTGGAAATTGTATGCAAAATTACAGTACTAGAAGATCAGTCTGCTCGCGTGAGACATGTCCCATCAACAGTGAACAAATTGAGTCAAGTGACTTAATGGCTCAGGGTCTATGTTCTAGCCTTCATGTGCCAGGTCTCTTGGATAGAGATTACTTAATAATGAAAGAAGGCAGAAAATTCTCGAAACCTTGATTAGATTCCCAATCGCTAAAATAAACATCCATTACGGGTTTATTATTATAGAAAATATGACTGCCTATAATATTTGGCCGATTTATCCGTGGTATTCACTCTGCACATGCCAGTGGCATTATATTGAACGCTTCCTCTTCCTGATTTAAAACACTCAAGTACCAAAACAAATCCAGGTACGGTATACCCTCAAAGTGCAACATGCAAGTAAGTAAACATGCGATGCTCACAACACCAACCAAATCCATCTACTTACCCAAATCACGCAACTAACCCCTCAATCACAACGTCAACACCCGCCCAAACCCCCCCCCCCCGAAGAAGAAAAATCCAAGACCCCTTTAATACTCGGAACCACCCAACCCGCCGCATTGAGCAGTGGAAGCAAATACCAGCACCATTCCAACCAACCAACCAGCTTCCACGCTTAGGTCCACGGTGCCACCCCAAAACGGCATAGTGCCATGGTGCAACCGCAACCCCCAACCAACATAGTACTCTAAAATCACAAGTGACCACACCTCACTTTTCCCCAAAACCCACGAAATAAAAGCACTGATTACTGTTTTTTTGGAAATTCTGTCAGGGTACGCCCACAGCACAAGCGCAGCATCATCATCATCATCATCATCATCATCATCATAGCGCGGTAAGAGAGCAAGTTTGTGTGGCGAGAAAATGGGTCGAGCGGAGAAATCGCAGGGCCTGGCGCCGCCGGCTGTGCGCAAGGAGATGCGTGCAAAGCAGGCGCGACATGTGGTGAATAAGGTTGTGCCTGCGTTGCTGGCGTCGAATGCGAGAGCGCGAAGGGGTGTCGAGGGGAGCGAGTTGATTGTGGATCCTGGGCCGGGCATCGGCGCAGCAGGTGGAGTGGCGGGGAAGAATAAGAGTAAGAGTAAGGAGGGCGGTGGAGACGACGTGGGATATGTGAAGAGGAAGGGGCAGGGGAGAAGGAAAGTCAAGGAGGGTGAGGGGGGCGAGGAAGAGGACGGTATAGCTATGGGTGATGGTGAAAGAGAAGGCAAAGGGCGTGGAAAAGCGAGCAAAGCGAAGAAAAGGAACGATTCTCTCGACGCCGGGTTGCTAGGTCAGGATCTGAACATCACAGCTCCAGCGCCATTGCAATCGCCAAAGAAAGAGAGGTGCATCCGTATTATCACTACGGATACGCTGACAGCCGCTCACATGCTCTCGCACACCACACCACCACCCTCGGCAAAACCCAGCAGCAACCGCAAACAACAACAGCAGAATACCTGCATCCTCAACATGGCGTCTCCACTGCGCCCCGGCGGCGGCGTCTTCGCAGGCGCAACATCTCAAGAAGAATTTCTCTGTGCGCGCACCACACTACTACCCTCCCTCAAAGAAGAATACTACCGACTCCCCGAGCACGGCGCCATCTTCACACGCGACGTCCTCGTCTTCCGCAACGCCCTCTCGCTCGGCGATTCGCAGGGCGAATTACCGCACGCAGACCGGTGGTACGTCGACGTCATCAGCGCGGGGATGCTGCGTTTCCCCGAGCTAGAAGGCGACGAGGATGCAGGCGAAAAGCGGCTTTGCAAAAAAGACCGTGAGATGGTCGAGCGCAAAATCAGAGCTGTGCTTCGCATCGCCGAGCACAAAGGAGCTCGGAAATTGGTTCTCGGGGCCTGGGGCTGCGGCGCGTATGGAAACCCCGTTCGCGATGTGGCAGAGGCGTTTCGCAGGGTACTTGATGGCACGACGGCGGCGGCTGCGGCTGCGAGTCGGAAGAGTAAAGGCGTGGTGCTGGAGACGTGGGCTGGGCTTGAGCATGTGGTGTTTGCGATTGCGAATCCGAAGATGGCGAGGGAGTTTGCGCAGGCGTTTGGTGGCGGGATTCAGGTTGAGGATGGGCCTGGTGGTGCTGGGGATGAGGAAGAAGATGAAGAAGAAGAGGATACGGTGGCGGAGGAGCTCAGGGCGAAGATTCAAGAGATGGAGGGCCAGATTAGTAAGGTTTGGAATCCGGATCTGAAGGAGAGGTTGGCGGTGGTTCTGGATGGGTTGAAGGCGCAGTTGAGGGGGAGAGAGGGCACGCTTGGGGTGAGTGATGGTGAAGATGGAGATGGAGAGGAGGGTGAGCAAGACGAAGACGAAGATGAGGATGAAGAAGATGGGACTGAGGAGCCCGACCATACTTCCATCGACGCCCTCGATAGCGATGAAGACGAAGACGCTTGTTCAGCCGCGGAAAGTGATGCACAACCGTCTAAGCTTCCATCTCGCGCCTAGAGACAAGAGTAGCCACAAGTAAGAAAGATTTCATGGGTATCTAAAACTAATGCTTTTCTATACATGTCTAGTCATGCTCATCCCGTCGGTCGTAATCAAGACGCGGCAGCTACTGGCTCTTGCGGTTCCTTTACAGCTGTTCCGTTCGAGTCCTTAACTTCAACTTCATCGTCCAATCCGAGCTTCTTCAAGTCGACAGCCAGTGGATCGCTTTCCTCTGTACTCTCGGTCGGGCCCTCGTATCCCGGCGGCGGCAATGCCCAATCGGGCAGTCCGGTCTGGTAGTCCCATTTGCCCTCCTCACAGCGATATCGCCTGGCGTGGAGATAGATGCCCAGCTCATGCACGCCTGGGTCGCTGTAGAGATCCGTGTCGCAGACGGGGCACTTTTCGCCCGTCATACGCTCGGCCTTGCGCTTGTTGTATGCATCGACCATTTCATCGTGGTAGGCGACGGCATCGGCCACCTCTTCCTTGCCCATGCGCGAGAGGCGCGACATGATGTCCTCGTCGTCGTCGTCCTCGGACTGGCCGCGGCCGAGATCAGAGCCAAAGACGCGCTGGTTGGCGTAGATGGGGTCATTGGAGATGGGGTGCCCGAGGTACTGGAGGTGCACGCGCAGCTGGTGGGTGCGGCCCGTCACGGGAAAGCAGCGTACAATGGAGTAGCCACGGAGTTTCTTCCACGGCTGGCCCTGAGCATCCGCATCGCCGTGCTGCTTCTCGGCGGCGCTGCTGGTGTCGTCTTTGGGCGGGTAGTAGGCCAGGCGCTTGAACACCGTCTTGGCCTCCTTGCCGTTTGCGCGCACGCGGTTGAGGCCGAGCTTGGGGCTGATCTGGAGGATGGGCTTCTCGCACAGAATCTCGCCCTCGGGAAACTCGCCGACGACGCGGGTAATGTACTCCTTCTTGACGGTGCGGCCGCGGATCTGGGCGCTCAGGTCCTCGGCGGCCTGCTTGTGCTTGCCAATGAACATGATGCCGCTCGTCAGGCGGTCGAGGCGGTTGCAGGGCAGGGGGTTCCAACTGTAGCCGCGGTCGGCGCGCATAATCTCGATGATGGAGTTGAAGTTGTAGCGGCCGGCGGGGTGGACGGGCATGCCGGCGGGCTTGTTGATGACAATCATGTCGTCGTCCTCGTGCACAATGCCAATGGGCTGGGCGGTGCAGGGCGGCTCGTGGCGGTGCAGCGTGTGCGAGATGATGTCGCCGTTCTTGATGAGCGTCCTGGTGCTGGTGACGGGCTGGCCGTTGACGACGACGCGGCCGTCGAGAATGGCCTTTTCATAGTAGTCGGCGGGGCGGTCGCGGAACTCGCTGGCGAAGATATCGAGGATCTCGCGGCCGCGCCACCGCTGCTTGCAGTACGTGTTGTACGTGTAGTGGTAGGGCGTCACCTTGCGCAGCCCGTCCTCGAGGTAATACGGCGGCGGCCACGGATTGCACGGCGTGATGGCCACGGCGGGCGGGTCCTTCCACGGCAGCCGATCATCGCGGAGGGGATACTTCTCGCGCGGCGGCGACGGCACCAGCGCCATCGAGGGCGGGCCTGGCGGTGAATTGGCCACGGGCAGGCGGCCCTTGGAGGCGAGGAAGGCGAGGATGCGCGGAGACGGCGCCACGATGGCGGGGCGGGCGTCGAGGGGCTGGCCGAGGGGCGGAGGGGAGCAAAAATGAAAGGTTTCGGCGCATTTGCCTGAGCCGAGGCTCAACACTTACAGTAGCTTCTGCCACTTGCATGGCACAGACATGCAGACAAGTATAGCTGCACGCAAGCCGGCTTCATCTGCCCAACACCACCACCTCGCGCAATCATGGCCCTCGAGGCCCTCAAGGCGCGTCGTCGCAGCGACTACAAGTTCCTGCTCGAGTACCGCACGCGATGGTATGTCGTCCCGTGCCATGCCCCTGTGCCGCGCTGACACCCCCAAGGAGCGACAATGACATGTACCACCACATGAACAACAGCGTCTACTACTACCTGTACGCCCTCCCGGCTCAGCGTGCAATGCGCCTGTTGCTGACATGGAACAAGCTTCGACTCGGTCGTCAACACGTACCTGATCCAGCACTGCTCCCAGCACCCCCCTACCTCGCCCTACATCGGCCTGGTCGTGCATTCACAGTGCGACTACTTTGCCCCTGTGGGATTTCCTGATGTCGTCGACATGGCCTTGAGGGTGAACAAGCTGGGCAAGAGCTCCGTGACTTATGAGATTGCCGTCTTCCAAAGAGGCCATGAAGACGTCAAGGCCGTGGGCGAGTTTATCCACGTCTTTGTTGATCGCGACAGCCGACGCCCGGGAAAACAGGGCATGCCTGATGCACTGAAGACAGGGCTGGAAAAGCTGCTGGTGACCAAGTCCAAGCTGTAGCGTGCCGGTGCCGATGTACAGTGGAGCCGATAAGTTGCGGCTTGGCCTGAGGAGCTGACAGATATGTCCATTCTTGCCCGGATAACTGGTGAATACGCAGGTCGAAGCAAAGACAGGACTCAGACTACGTCCGACTGGCTATAGAAGCCGGGGCTTGCAGTCCAGCGACAGTCCAGCGCGGTCAACGACAGAGTCACGTGACTATCCATTGAGTACCATGACAGGACGGATATCTGACATGACGAACTGTCTGAACACCTCAGGATACTGAGAAAACTCATTTCTCTCACTTTCTGCACAGGTTGCGCCAGGCACTCCTAGCTGTTGACGAAAGCTGCATTTACCTCCACCATCTCCTCGCCTCTCACATCCACATCTCCAACGTTCCTCGCTTCAAGTAATAATCCCAGTGTCCATCCTGCGCTGAACCTGGGCGGGGTAACGTCTACCCGCATACCGGTAATCTATTTCCGGCCCCATCTGCCTTGACGACACTCCTTCTTCCACCCAATCAACGTACAAATGAGCGATACCTTGTATTCTACCACTGCAGCTCCGTATACTTAATTCATCCTTTTACACGACCCAACTCTGTTTACTGCACTCACCAACACCCACCTTGCCGCAGCACAAAACAATGTCCCCCGAAACCCTGCACGGCCCCGGTTTACTTTTTGTGCGCTCGCGCATCTCGCCATCCAGCAAAGAGATACTCTCCGAAACCACATTCCTCAAATGGTACGACGACGAGCACGTTCCCGAAGTCCTCTCCAAAAGCGAGATTAAAGATGGCTTTCGGTACGTGGATATCCACAAATCCTCTTGCATGGGCGATGCGAGCAACGACAAGCCTTACCTCGCGTGCTACCCAATGCACGACCTAGCCTACACGCTCAGCTCCGGCTTCAAGAACATCAACGTCAAAAGCGACATTCTGCCGGGCACGGGCATCATTTATGACCTCGCGGATCTGGATACCAGTTTTCTGGGTTTCATCAGTGCTACGCCGAAACAAGGCTGCGCAGATAGTGCGTACACATGTGGTGGATAGAGTTTCCGTAGCAAGCTCCTTTACTGAGAGACAGCCGCGATAGCGCAAGCCAGCTACATCATGACTTCAGGCATCCGACCTGAAACCGAGCCTGGACAAGACAAGGTCCTGGCTTTCTACACGCAGGTACAGAGAGACTCCTTTGCAGCGTTTCCCACCACACACGCGCCATGAAGCATTGATTTCAGCTATAGCAAACGGAACTGCTGTCGCAAATACCACTGTACATGCGCACGCTGCATTTTAAATTGCTCTACGCAAGGACAAATGCCCAGTCTCGCGCTTTCAAGGGTTTGCCGACTACAAATGAGCCGCTTCCGGAGCCCTCGACTTGGCTGGCTGTACATGAATTTTCGGGTCTGCCCGAGGAAGACGTTGTGCAGAGTCTCCAGCGCAGCGTGGAAAGGGGGGTGGATGGGTTTGGAAAGACGGAGAGTGAAGTGCTTGTTTGGAGGCTGGACCGTGTGCATGGGAGAGGCAGGTTTTTGGACGAGGAAGAATAAATCGCCATTCTACCTCTTTCTGGTAAGCAATTGATACAGAATGCTTGAATTTGGGGTTCTGACACCACGACATAAGTAGGCGGATTTACAGTCATGTACAAACGCTAACAAACACCCTCACAACAAACATGTCTTCATTTCCCAACTCAATCACTGCTCATGTGCATCATCATCCTTCGAATCCACCCAAGGCTCGCCTTTCCACGTCCTCCACGTCTGATGCGCCTTGACATCCTTGGCGAGCTCTATGCAGCGCACACGCTCCCAGCTCTCCTTGCCCGCGACAACCGCCCAGTGCTTTTCCGCGCGGTCCGCCCAGTACTTTGCGCGGTGCTCAAACCCAAACTGGCTCCACGTGTAGGCGAGGCTCTCTTCGTACTGCGGGAGCTCAGCGACGAGCCCCTCGTCTTCCAGCTGCCGGATCAGCTTGGGTAGCAGTTCGAGCAGCCGCGGCGCAGAGGCCGGGTCGGTGGGTAAGCTGGATTTCAGCGCTTTGATCTCGCTGATGCGATCGGCTGACGCTTCGAGCTCCTCGTCAGACGCCTGGCATAAAGAGCATTTGCAGCTGAAGTTGAAGTTGGCTTCGAGAGAACGCATGCGTCGGTGGTGCGGCCGCAGTTCAAAGCCATCTAAATGCGTTAGTTTGGATCCCCTTTTTTCTTTCTGCATGCTGGAAGAGAGGGAGACTTACAGCTCCGTGTTATCTCCTCCCCCGGCTTGATGTTGCGGAGCGCAAACACCTCGAAGGAAAGCGTGTAGTCGTTGAAGCGCCAGCGGGTATTCGGACGACACGCGTGATTGATACGCTGTGCACGTCAGTCCAAGTCCTACGAGAAAAGTCGATGCAGACGTACCGCAACCTCAGGAACAACGCTGAACAACTCCGGAACTTCGTCGACCCACGGCCACTTGACGGCCACCGCATTCGTCGCAACGAGCTGCTCAAGCTCCGGGCCTCCACTCAGCTCCAAAACGGCATCTCTCGTCGCAGCAGGTAACTGCTCCACGGCGCTCCTCAACACACGGCTCGTCGCAAGCGTCCTCTTCGCATCCAGCAGCGCCCTGGAAACAAGCAGCACAGGCGTATGCAGCACGACGCTTTCGCCCGCGAAAACAAGCCCAATATCGCCTTTTACAAACATCCCTTTTCCCTTTTCCCCCGCGTCCCGCACTTCCCACATGCCCATTTCGCGCCCGACGGTGCCGTCCAGCCCGCCAATGGCCATGCCAAACGCCTCCATAGTCACGCTGGCCGCGACATCCGGGGTCGCCACGAAACTGACGCCGCGCCCGTTGTTGTAGCGCGCGTTGGAGTATGCGCAGAGGGTTTGCGCGGTTTCCAGGCCTGCGCTGCCGTCTTCTGGGTCGTCGGCGAAGACGACGTCAACGCATGTTGGCGTGTGTGTCCACGGGAACGTGTACCATGGCTGGTTTTCCTGGGACGCGGGACATGTGGAGGCTGGTTTGTGGGTGAGGCCGTCTTGGATCACCGCGCTGCGGGGTAGCGCGTCTGCTGCTGTCGAGGGTGTTGCGGCTGCTGTGACGAGGAGGGCCGAGAGGAAGAGCGGGACGCGGGGTTTGCGTTGCTGTTTATGGCGCCGTGGTAATGCTTGTCTATGTAGTCTTGCCATTGTCGTTTTGCTCTGTTCCTGTCCTTTCCTAGCTCTTTCTGCTCACTACGTATATACACCGCGACTCAGGGATCTCGCAGCGCAGATTGAAAGTCGAAGACAGTACTTAAATGAAGAGAACAGAACAGATGAAACCAAACCAAACGAAATCGCACGTTTTAATATCCTTCAAAACCATAGCATTGGCATTCGCACACATTGGCAGGAGTCGCGCAGAGAGCCACGTTTCATCATTGCAAAGGTCCTTTGGATACTTAATCTCCCGTCTATTTAACCCCCTTTGCTTCACAAGGCTGGCTGGGCTTGCTTGGCAGCGGCCCTGTGCGTCCAGCGTGCAATTTACTTTGTTGCTTGACAGGGCCGCCGCCGTGACGGATGAGTGGGTAGGTGGGGGGTGGATTTGCTTGAGACGCGCCGGGAAAATGCGGCGGTGTGTGTGGTGCACGTGGGTAGCGGCAAGGGGGTACTTAAGTGTAAGTAGGGGAGCACGGGAACCGGGTGAACGGCCGGCGCGCGCGGGGGAGTAGCTGTGCTAGGATTTGTGCAGCTAATCTTTTAGGGTGGGTATGGTTGGATGTTAGCGATTATTGTATGTAGATGGGAGAGTAGTGGTTTTAGAGTAACTAGCCCCACCACAAAGTGCGCGCGACCACAAAGTGCGCGCGCGCCTTACAACCACCTCAACCTCAACGCGTCGTATCCCCACCACCATGGCTAATATTGAGGCTGCGCTTGCAGCTATTAATGCCCTAGGACCTGATGAGCCTTTTTCGTATACAGATATTGCAAAAAAATATAGTGTTGTTCGATCTACGCTTACCCGAAGACACCAAGGCCTACACGCCTCACGCGCGATAGGTGGCCAAAAACGGCAGCTCCTCCACCCACAGCAGGAGCAGGCCCTAATCGCCTATATCAATCGACTAACAGATAGAGGCTTACCACCTACTCAGCCAATGATACGCAATTTTGCCTCACAGATCGCCAAGACTG